TGCGTGGACCACGGGCAGGGGGTGGGGGTAGTGGACCAAAATTCTCCCTGCTGTCCTTGCGTAGAGGGTCTGAAAAGATACCCAAATGTAAACTACACATTTTGATTTTGTAATTGTATGTATAAAATGATATTACAATTAATTATATGTAATACCTTGGTATTCAAATATAAATGTACACAATACACGATTAATATAATTACACACATAATAGACTATATTATAAAAGATTATGTAGTATAAGATACCTATTTTGTGATATATTGTGATACTATATTCTCAAGACAAAAGTCTTCATTACTCTGGAAAAAATTAAGATGGAAGACAGTTCCATTTTGCAAAGCAGGGACTGGCAGGGGGAGGAGAGGCAAAGGCTAAGCCTGTCCACCTCGCTGTGTGTCTGAGGCAGGTGCGCTGCCCTCTCTGAACTCCCTCGTCCGAGTGGGGAAGGTTGCGGCCACCTGGGACACAGCCAGGAAGTGGGAGAGGCGGGGCCTCCCTCCAGGAGTGACTTGCAATGATCCAGAAGCTTCCTCATGCTGAGCTATCTGGAACTGGGGACAGGGAGGATGTCCTACGTGGGCTGGTCAGTTAGGCCTCAACTTGCCGGCTCCCAGGGCCACCTCCAAGCTGGCAGCCCTGATAACCTTGCCCTGACTCTGCTGCCCCTCTGGCTGTGAGTGTGGGTGTCACGTGGTGCCAGGCCTGGCTGCTGAGAGGGGGGTGACATACGTTGCCAGTTCAGAAAGCACTTTTGAATTTTGCAGTGTTACCTCTGCCACTCAAAGACAGTAACACAGACCACCACGACCCTGACAGACCCTCTGAGGGGCATCTGCTGGCCCCAGGTGACAGGTGGGGAAACTGAGGCTCAGTATCGTTGGAGGGGCTAAGGCCAGGACTTGAGGCAAGCCCACCGCTCTTTCTGCTATAGAGCCAGGCCTGGAAAAATCACCTCCCTTCCTAGTGGCAGATCTGGGGAGCAGCTGTCGTGGAGAGAGCAGTGAGTCACGGATTCACCCAGAAGTGTTAGCTCCCCAAATTCTGAGAGCCCCACGAGGGAGCACGTAGGAGCTGGTAATAACCATTTGGGGTACTTTATATTGTGCCTGCAATATTTTTTAATGCACTTGTCACACTAGAAAGGCTTTCTAAAAATGCTGAGGACTGGCTATGCCCGGTGCTCTGGACAGGCATGGCCACCACTCCACTCCTGGACTCTCTCAGATGCCTGATGAATTCTGTCTCCACCATTTCCCGGCGGGGAAGTACCTTCCCCTTGGAACCTGCTTCATGAAACAGGTTTGCTGGGAGGAGCCAATGGTGTGAGGTGTGCAGAGCCCATTACAAGGCACCTTGGCACCTGGTGTTCCTATCGTGGTTACTAGTCGTGGTCCTCCTAGGTCCTTCTAGATCTCACTCAGCAGAGGAAGCAGGATCTGTCACTGCAAATGCCTGCAAGGCACCCTCTCCGTCCCATATGGACCCCTATTTCCCAGGTCCAGACCGGTTTTGTCCCAACCATACAGGAGAGACTCTCCCCGGGTGGCACCTCTTCTCTGCCCCGGATTTGACATGTGGGAAAACAGGGTGCACTTTCTTTGTGTCACCCCTCACCTGGCCATTCCAGCAGTCCCCAGCCTGGTGATCTGGGGACTTCTGCTTGATCCTGCCCCACCCTGTCTGGGCTCCTAAAATGAGTCATCTCACCCAGTCACAGCGAGCCAGGCTCTTCACGGGCCAGTGGCCCAGTCTAAAATCCCATTTGTATGTTCTTCTCCAGGTCAATCACTGCTTCCTTCACCGGGTAACACACTCAATGTCTTGGAGCCCAAGGACAGTGACTGGAGGGGACACACTCCTCCCATGCTGGGTGACAAGAGTGGGTAGAAGCCAGTCAGGAAAGGAGTGCAGGGAAAGCAAGCATTCTTTGTGCCCAGGGAGCTTCCTTTAGGCAGAAGAAGGGGATGAAGCAGCCGGAGGTGGCAGCTGGGAACAGGGCTCTGTTGTCTTGGCTCCCAGGGTAACAGCCTATCACCCCCATGGGTGTCAGGCAGAGCTGGGAGCCAGGAAGGCGAGGGGGAGGGATCTCTAGCTGGGAGTTTGGGACCCCAGTGGGGCAGAAAGGGCCTGGCTAGGGCTGGGACTCCTGAGGTAGGGGCCGCGAAGACTCCTGTGACTTGGAGTCGACTCAGCCCTTCTGAACTATGTGACCTTGAACAAGTCATTGAATTTCCCTGCTCCTCAGTTTCTTCCTCTGGATAATGGGAAGAAATGGCAATGCTCCCTGTAAGGCAAGGTGAAAAAGATAGCCCAGCTCTGTCCTCCTGGGCTTCCCGAGTGGCCCTGGTCAAACCCCATCCTCTCTGGGCCTAGGCCACCCCTTCAGTAGAGGAAGAGTTTGGATCTTTCTCTTCCTCCCTCTTTCCTCTTGAGGATCTCCATGGTGCCTGTCACCATGACAACCCAGGATCAGGTGTCAGGTCTGCTTCCCTCTCCTTCTCCCTCCCTCTCCCTGGTGGTGTGGATTACGGCAGCCAGATGTGTGACCTTGACCTTTCCTGTTCCGGGCAGTGGGGAGAGGGTCTCCACTGAGAAGGGGGCCACAGTCACGTTCGGTGCTGCTCCCAAAAAGCTTGGGCTGGCTTCGAACAAGCAAATCCAGCTCAGAACCGCTTTGGGTTTGTCCCTCTCCCACGGCCTCCCGCACTATCAGGGTTTTCTCCAAACAGAAGGGTTGTCCCTGCTGTGACAGCCCTGTCCTGGGAAGGGCTGGGGGTGGAAAAGGGGAGCTCCTGCCCCTCCTCCTCCACTAGGGCTCAGGCCACCAGAGATTAATTATTAATGGACTGGCAGCTCCAGCCCAGCGCCACCAGCTTGCCCCAGCCACCCCACCTTCAGGGACTGGGGACCAGTGTGTGTGTTGGGGGGGAACCCAGGGGTCAGGGCCAGCACCAACCTGAGTTCTCAGGACACCCAGCCCCTGGAGCAGCGATGCGACAGTCCCATACCCACTCCGGGGCCACGCGCGCACAGGGTCCCGGTTTGATGACTGGGGTGGGGAATCGCGTGGACAGGGTGCCCTGGGAGGCGAGGCACAAGCCGACATGGCTGCTGGACCCCCGGACATACCTTGCTCCCGTCCTCCTCGGGCTCAGCGTGGCTGACTCGGCCTGGGCCACGCCGCCCGCCCGGGGCGCACCGGCCGGGGCCCCGCGCTCTGCCAGGCCTGGTCCATGTGCCCGCCCTCCGATCCCGGCCAGGTGCGGCCACCAGCCTGGCCCAGCCCCCGACGCCAAGGCCAATGGGCGCCCCGGGGCCCCAGCCCCCCCCTGCCCCCTCCCGGGCCCTGCGCCTGCCCGGGGCGGTACAGAAGCTGCATTCAGCCACCCGGGGACCCAGCGCTGCGCCCCCGCCGCCAGTCCAACAAGGCCCGTTTGTCTCCGACGCGCCAACGGGACCATTGTCCTGTCGCTCAGACCCAGGCCCCCTGCCCCGGTTCGGCGATGGTGGTAGTGGGGAGGGGAGCCCCAGCTCTGGAGGAAAAAGCGGCTGGACTAGATGCTAAACCTGTCAGGAGCACTGGGGGCGGGTAGGACCCCCTGCTCCACTCCACGAATGCTGGGGACACGTTTTTTGGCCCCCAAAGAAGCAGGGCTGGGGAGGAGCCGGGATCCCTGAGGAGAGCTGAGGCAAGAGATTTCCTCCCAAAGGGCCCTGCCACTTAAAGGTGTCAGCTGTCCCCTCCTGTCCAGGGTGCTTGTCACCGCTAGAGAGCTAGGCCCATCTGATGTGAGCCCCCCCCCTCCCTTTCCAGATCTAGGCTTTCCTCCTTCACCCCAAAGGAGCACAGCCGGGGATGGGAACCAGTGCCCAGTGAGAAGCAGGAATTCCTCGCTCCAGCTGTGGGCAGTACAGAGCCAGCTGACTGCCCACTGGCACATGGGCCGTGTCAGAGGGCCCCACTGCCCCCGCCATTTCTGGGCCACTCTGGAACGGGGAAAATTCCACATCAGCATGGCTGCCAGGCATTTCTTCATATCTGACGGGCCTGGTCTCGACCTTGTGGCCCTGCGACACACCCGCACCCAGGCAGGCCTGAGTCATCCTGGGGCTGCAGGTCGTGGCTCCAGAAGGCTTGAGCCTCTGTCCCTGCTTTTGGAGGCAGTCCCTGCACCTTCTGCGCTCCTAAGTGGACACCAGACTCAGCCCTCTTCTCCTGAGCTCACAGCAGGGCCCCCGACTCCCCAAGCTGTTTTCTTCTTACACAGGGTGGGTCTGCAGCCACTGCCACAAATCACTCTCCTACAGGAGGCCAAGGTTTCAGGTGCCGATTCTGGGAAGGTGGGCCCAGTTCCTCACCCCCAGCCCCCCAGGAGCAGCGTCAGGAGGGTGAGCATCTGGAGCCCTAAGGCTCTGCCACCCACAGACAAGGGATGCCCCTCGGTCACCAAAAAAGCACTGCCAGCTCGGGCGGGAAGCTGTGAGGCAAGCCCACAGGGTCGCAAATGAGGCTGCCAGCAGTGGCCACACTGGAGTTACTGGCAGTTCTGCCTACCAGTCTGCCTGGAAAGCTAGGAAAGCACCTGCCCTTAGGCCCTGGTTCATATCTTCTGGGCCAGCTCCAGCAGGAAGTGGTGTATAGAGAACTTACGAGACAAATGACACCCACTAGTGAGTCTCTACAGCTACCTCAAGTGGGCCCTTCCCAGGAGGATCCAGAAATCCCACCCCTACCCCACAAGGAAGCAGGTTCACAAGGTTGAGTGCCTGGGCAAGGTGCCTGTGAGCCAAAGTCAGAGTTCAAGTCCTAAGCCTCGTGCTACCTTCTGGCATCCCTGGACCTGGAGGGGTCCTCAGACATCAGAAAGCTGAGTGCAGCTGGCCCATCTGGGTCAGTACCCAGGGCTGGCCCAGCCTGCAGCACAGAGCACCAGGTGCCCTGCTCCAACCCCAGGAAGGCTCCTGAACACAGAGTCCACTGGCTGCAAAAGTCTAGCATTTAATGAAAGCTCCCCACCCTTACCCCATCACAGCACCCTGAGAACTGGGTCCAGCAGCATAGGTAGGGTTATGGAAAGTTAGGGTGAACAAGCCAGCAAGTGAAAGCTGGGTCACCCCTTGCCCCCATGCCACAGACCCATGGGAGCACAGAACTGGGTTGGGAACAGAGGCTTCTCTGCCCAGCCATCAGCACGGAGCTCTGTCCGAAGGAGAGTAGGACTGCCACACACCCAGCCAGAGAGCACGAGGGCGCCAGGCCAGCAGGGGCTGGGGAGAGTGTACGAGAAGAGGTGACTGGTCTGTCACCAAGCTTTGATCCACTGGCATGCTCCTGCTGGTCTGGCTGCTGGGAGTTGGCCTCGGCCCGGTAAGGGACCACGGGAATTCACACCGGCCTTGCCTTCTTGGCCTTCTTCTCAGATCTCACGGCCTCATCGTGGGCTTTCCGCTTCTCTGCCAGTTTGTTGGCCTGTGGGGAGGAAGAGGGAGGGATGGGGACACGTGGTGTGGAGACGGAATCCCCCCTTTCCTACTTGGGACTACCCCTTAAAAGCACAGCTTCTAGGAGAGCTATCGAGGGAGTCACCCCAGGAAGAAACCTGACTCACCCAGGATGAGGAAACCGACCATCCAACTCCGCCCTTGCCTTTAAGATGCTGTCATCTTAAAACAAATGCCCAGGTTAAAGAATCTAGGCCCCAGAGCGGAAGAGCCTCTGAGACTTTACAGCTCCATTGGGGAAAGCTGGAGCCCATTTAAACTGCACGAGGAGCTGGCAGAGGGTGCAAAGAGAAGTCTTCCCTGGGCAGCAGTTACAAGCCTAAGAACTCAGCCTGCAGAAACATTCAGAGGTGGACAGACTGCCCGGAGGCATTTTCTGAGCATGACTAAAACCCCATCCCAGAGGACAGATCGTATGGTTAAATGATTAAAAGAAAAAAAAAAAAATCACACTTCTCCCAAGACTGCCGGGATTGCTCTGCTCCCAGACTGAGACTCGGGAACAGCTGGGGGCAGGAAGGGGACTGAAGCCCCGAGGAAGCCGAGGCTAACCAGGAGACCTCAGGAAGAGAGCCAGGGTGCCCAGGACAGCCCAGCGGCCTCTGAGCGCACGTGCACAGCGCCTCGGGTGGCGGCGGGAACTCACCTCTCGGATTTTCCGTCTCTTCCCATACATGATTTTCTGGTAAAGGTACTTCTCTCGCTTCCTCATCGTCATGATGGCCAGGCGCTTCGCCTCGCTCTCCTCCTCCTGGGCTAGCCGCTGCTTGTCCTCCAGCTTCACTGTGCCCTCCATCACTCTGGGCTTCTGGGGACACATGGCGGGCGCTTGTGGGTACAGGTCCTCTGGCTCCCGTCCTTCTGGACCAGAGGGGCTGCTGCCCCAGTGGGGTCCTGCTCCAGCCCCCATACCTTCCCCTCCATCCTCTGCTCCTCCAAGGCTGCCAGGCAGGTCTCTTCCTCCTTTTCAGAGCCGGACTCCACCTCCTCCTCCTCTTCAATCTCTCCCCCTTCATCACCATCACCTTCATTGTCCTCCTCCTCCTCCTCCTCCTCCTCCTCCTCTTCTGACTCTTTCAGGCTTCCTAGAGACAACAGGTAACTTCTGGAAACCTGCTGCTTCCCCCAGCATCAGGCCCCACGCATCACCCTCGCTGGCCATTCTTCAGACACTGCAAAGGCAGCTTAGGCTGTTCCCATGGCCCCTTCTGACCACGCCCGACGACCCCGGCTGAGCTTCCTTCCATGGAAACTTGGAGGCCCTCACTCTCGAACTCTGTCACCTCTGTGCGAACAAGGATAATCCTAAATCGGTCTGCTCAGCTCCTCAGAACACCTAACAGAGCCGCCTGCCCTGTTCCCAGCAGTTTCCCAACTCTGTAGCCAAGGGAAAAGGCCAGCTCAGGCCCAGCCACCCCACTCACCTGGGTCCTCTCCCCGCTGCAGAGCCAGCAGCTTCAGCTTCTCGGGCGGGATATAATCTCCCTCCTTCTCAGACACGAAGGGCGAAAGGTGTGGGGGCAGCTGCACCCCGGGGAAGTACTCTGCTACAGGAAGGAGCAGCCGGGCATTCACACAGTCAAACACCCACTGGGGCTGCACATAGTACCTGGCACAGAGCGGCCGGCAAAGACAGGTCACAAGGGAGCAACGAGAGGCACCACTGAATCACAGGGGGTTCGGAGCTGCCTCGGAGACAGATCCCTCCCAACAGTGCACAAAGGTCTTGGGGACCTACCTGCCAATGACAGGGGTCTGCTGCCCAGGCCGGTCAACAATCTGATGGGTGATGCTGGAGTCTGTGATGTCATAGGTGGCCCCGATGCACAAAGATTTGTCCCAGGACACATCCCCTCCAAAACTCCTACAAGCACAGGGAGAGCCCATCGGGCCCCAGGGCATCAGCCGGCTGCCCTGGGGCCCAGTTCTCTGGGACCCACTGGCCGCTCTCACAAATTCACCTTGCCAAGAGCGCCTGCCCTGCCTCCACCCAGTTCCTCCTGTCTGTGCTGCTACCTTCACTCCTGGGCTAGGGGACCCTGGATGCTACCAAAGCCATGGCAGCTCTGCCCTTACTGAATGCCTCCTAGGTGCCCTCCCAATGTTACCGAGAGCGGCTAGGGCAGCCCCGAAACCAGAGCCTGGCAGGGCCAGTGCTGCAGGCTGGCCGCGGGCCTCCTCACCTGATGACAAAGGCCAGGGCCTCCCGCGGCACCTCACGGTTCAGGAAGAACTTCAGGCCCTCGAAGAGCCTCTTGTGCTTTTCCTGCGCCTCCAGCTCCTTCCTGCGGTTCTCCTCCTGCACCGATACCTCCTGCCAAGAGGAGCCAGGCCTTGCTCCACCAGGGCCACCCGTTCCCAATATGGGCAGGGAGTGGAGGCACTGCTCTCCAGATTCCTTCTAGCCCCCAGCTTCCAAGTGCCACCCCTGGGCCCCATCCGCCCCTCCAAAAGGCAGCACAGCATACCCCATCGGCAGGAAACTCGTCAGCCTCGACTTCCTCCTCTGCAGCGGGCACGACCACACGGGCAAGGCTGGCACTGAGGGCTGCCAGTTTCTACAGGAGGGAAGCAGGGTGGCAGGGCTGTCTGCTTGCAGGAGGGACCTCTCCTGGGTGGGTGGCCAGATGGGGAGGGCAAATAGCAGCAGCTCTGCACCGCCCATGGCTTGGGGCTTTGGGCAACTTCGGAGATTTCCCACCTGGTCAACCCACCCTCCAACTCCCGGGCCAGAGCCCCAGATGTGCTGCGGATAAGGACTCCCCTTCTGGGAGATGCAGGCCCTCTCACCTCCAGAGAACTCTCGGAGTCCAATGCATAGGTGCTCTCACTGGCCTTCGTCTCTGTCTGGGCCTGACCTTCGAGCTGGAGTAGCAGGGGGATGGTCAGAGGGAAGAGGACCCCTTAGCCCCTTGCCTCTGTGTGGGGAGAAGGGCTAGCCCCTACCTTCGGTGGGTAGTGGAGGTTAAGGGACTGGTACAGGCGGAAGTTCACGAAGCCCAGCAGGGTGGTGTAGAACTCGGTGAAGGTAGCCATAACCCTGTAGTCGACGTCTGTCGGGTGCTGGGAGGGACAGGGGGCGTCGGCAGTTGGGTGTGCAGGGGTGGACTGTGTGCTCCTCCTCCCCCCGGGCATTCTGGACACAGGTGAGGCTCTGGCTAGGGGTCCCAAGGCTGAGAGTACGTGGGGGCCAGCTCCAGACCCCCATGTGGTAAAGAAGCCAGAGGCAGACAAGGAGGTCCCTGCTGCCCCCATGGCTGGCGCCCTCGGTCCTGTGCCTTCTCCTAGCATAGATGTCTGTTGTTGAAGAGGCCGCTTTCCCTGACCTGGACAGAGCTCAGGCCTCCTCCAGCCCCACCCCACAATCTGTCTTAGCATCTTCTCCAGGTCCCTGGAAGCACCAAGAAGGCAGCCCTGTCAGAACCCAGCACTGTCCAGGGCCAGAAGTGTGGTGACAGACCTTGGCTGACTAAGGGGCCTTGGAAAGTCAAGCCCACCTGGAGCAGGAGGTGAACAGAACTTGACCACCCACACCCCGGCAACCGCCTTGGGACAATGATCAGAAGGCCTGGCTCTGCCCCAGGGGGCCCTTGGGAAATGGCAGCCCCAGGGGCTGCTTGGGGCAGAGACAGAGCCACCCTCACAAGCTGCCACCCAAAGGCAGGGGACGTGGAAGGGCCCATCTTTGTCCTTGAGAAGTTATCTGAGACCTGGACCCTGGAATGGTCCCACCACCTAAAAGCAAGGAGGCCCACCTGACCTTGCTGACCCTTGGGACATGGTCAGACTCTCCCAGAAATGTCAGAATTTATAATGACCACGACCTCCCCAGTGCTGGTGCCCATGACTGAGTTGTTTCTCCAGCTTGCTGCCAGACAGTGACCTGTGCCATGGGGCTCTGCCTGGGGCCCTTCACAGGCCTGGTGGGCATTTGGCCACCAACCCCATTTCCCACAGCACCAAGCAGGTTATTAATGTCCCTACCACAGCCCTGGGCCCAGTGCTATGCACCCAGCACTGGCTGTTCAGGGGAAAGTCACCCTGCAACACCCCAGTAGTGGTCATGGATCTTCTGTGGTGACTTAGAGCAGTCCAGGGAGGAAGGCTGCATGACGGCTTCTGCCCTTCCCCCAACCCACAGCCAGCTGTGTGGAGGCTGGCTCTCCACAGGCCCTATTCACCACCCAGGAGGGCGTACAAAGACTGGTCTGAGAAGCGCAGGGGTGGGACATCAGAGAGAAGGAAGGACAGAGAGCCAGAGAGGAAGGTGGGACGGAAGAAGGAGATGGGGGTGGAGAGGGAAGGGCCACAGGCTCTGGCTAGCCTCTGCCCCAGGGAGTGGGAACAGATACTGCTGAGTGCCAAGCCCACCCTCTCATCATGAACAGACTACAGCCCGCCCACCGAGCGTCACCACATGGCGACAGTCAGGACAGGTTCCAGCCCTTGCACTAATAGTTCAAGGTAGGGCGGACCTGTGGCTCACCCTGGGAGTACCATAACACAGTCAGCAAGCTGTCAGTTGGGCCTGGCGCCTGCTCTCCAGGGAAGCCTCGCTTCCTGCTCAGTGAACAGGCAGGAGGGAAGGGCCAAGTGCAGGCCACAGACAGGTAAGGCGGGTGGCAAGCCAGGCCAGGCCAGACCCTCTAGGGGACCAGGTGCTAAGGACGCCTCCCCAAAGGAGGCAAAACCAGGATTGCTCTCAGGCACCTTGCCAACAACTGTCAGGACTTAAAAAGAGAGGGAGCAGCGCCCGTGTGTGTGCTGCCTCCCCAGTGTCGCCCCATCCTCCAGGCTGTGGGGAGAACAGGGCAGGGGAGGAGAGGGAGAGTGAAGCAGCTTGGCTATGTACGGTCTGGCAGCTGCCAGTGGGGACAAGGGAGGGGCAGAACTGGGCTGTGTACTCACATCATGGGAGAAGGCGTAGGGTGTGATCCACACAATGGGCTGCCCGAGCACCTCCGCCTGGTAGTAAATGCCTTTGATGGACAGGAAGACCTGGGGGACAGGGGCAGAGAGCATGAAGACCACAGGTGGCAGGGAGGGGTGGGCCCCCAGGATCCCCTTGCTCACCTTGCGCAGGGCACGGGCGGCAATGACGTAGTGGAGGAACTCCACGCTGAGCCGGCGGCACAGCTGAATGGTCTGCACGTGGCACTTGCCCGTCCGTGGGAAGGTGGAGAAGAGGAAGCACATAGACAGGGCGTCGTCCAGGTCCCGCAGAGCGTCGGTGAACGTGGGGTACCTGCAGGGCAGTGCTCATGAGCTCGCTCAGCCTGGCTCCTAGGACACCACTCTCCAAGCCGGGCCTTGCCACTGCCACCTCCTAACCTGGCAGCAGCAGCAGCAATTTCCCACAACTGGCCACGGCCCTGGGAAACACTGAACCAGGATGTGCCACTGGGCTCTGAGGACCAGAGATGGGGTAACCTCGAGACACCCACCACAGATGCACCCCTGACCACTCCTGTGTCCTGTCATCACTCTAACGGAAGGGTAAGGGCTCACGGTGGAAAAGGAAGAATGATGAGGTGGGCTGTATCCTCAGCAGCACTGTCTAGGTGGCAAAAACAATCAGAACTGGGGGCAAACATGCTAGAATTGGGACCTGGGCCAGGAGGAGTTACAGCAAGAGCGTGTTTCCCAGAATCCTGTGGGAAACGAGGAAGCAGACATTAAGACCACAGGTGACATCCACCACTGGGTGGCTGCCCGGATGAGGGACAGAGATGTGGGGCGTGGAGAAATCACTGAGCCACAAGTAATGACACCTTGATTCTGAGCTGTGACCACCCTCATCCAGTCCCTGCTTCATCTGCAAAGTGACATCAATGGACCAGACCATTGGCTTAAAACTGTCCCTTGCAGCTTCCTAGAGATAGCCTGGGCACAGACGGACAGAGAGGGCTTTCAGCCTCCCTCCCCCAGCCACACAGCTGCGAGCATCCACACTGCTCCCTTCTGTGAAAAGAAGGTTCTGCAATTCCATAAGGAGCTCTGAGGGGCACAGGACTGGACACTGCCCAGTCATTCCAGCCCCAGGTGGCATTACTCACTGCAGTGACTCAGGCCAAACTGGCCAGGTCTTCTAACACAGGCTGAGATGGAGGAAAGGCCTGGAGGGACCCGTGAGGAGGCAACAAGAGAGCTGGCTGGGTTACAGGGCAGAAGCAGACCCTCTTTCAGCCCTCAGGTACCTCAGTATCCTAAGTCTCCAGCTCGGAGACAAATCCAGCCCCCCAGGCGCTTTGTAGGAAGGGCACCGCCTTTCTTGATTTTCTTTCTTAAGTTCTGGTTCTGGCCTGGGAGACCATGTCACCTGGTATACACGTGGACCCTGGCACTTGGTTTGGTTTTTTCTTAAATATTTTTTTTCACCTGTCTCACGTAACAGCTGCACCACAGACTGGACAGAGCTGTGGGGACTCACTCAGGGCAAGCTCCTCAGAGCAGGCACTGTCCTCTGGCTGCCCAGCTCGTGGGCCACAGGGCCAGGGTGAGAACACCAGCTGTCCAGCTCCTAGGCCAGCGCCTTCTGATAAAGCACATGTCCGACCTGAACAAAGCCAAGCCCGTCCACTCTGAAGCTGAATGAGCTTGGGTCACCAGCCCAGAAGAGAAAAAAGACACTTAGCAGCCCAGGGATTCTGAACTTGACCACTGCTGACATTTTCAGCCAGACTGTTCTGTGTTGAGAATTATTTTGCCCTACCAGCCTGTACCTGACGGATACCAAAAGCACCCCATCCAAACTGTGGAAGAAGTGAGATCAGTCCTGGCTAAGAAGGGCTGATTTAGTTGACGGACGAGGGGGCTTCTGAGGTCAGGCAGGGGATGGACGAGGGCAGTGCTGAGTGTTGTCTACATGTACCCCAAGTACAGCCCCACCGCAGGCTCTGCCCTTACTGTTGCCTCTGCTTGGAACATGCTTCTCCTGGCTGGCCCAGACGTGTTCCTTCTCAGCTGGGCATGGTGGCTCATGCCTTAATCTCAACAGACTATCGGACTGTGGTTTGATTCCAGGCCAGGCAAGAAGTTACTGAGAGCTGGGTACCAGTAGCTCACACCTGTAATCCTAGCTATGCAGGAGGCAGAGATGGAAGGACCATGGTTCAAAGCTGGTCCTGGGCAAATAGTTTGTGAGATCCTATCTCAAAAATATTCATGACAAAAAAGAGCTGGCAGAGCGGCTCAAACGGTAAGAGCGCCTGTCGAGCAGGTGCGAGGCTCTGAGTTCAAACCCAGAACTGACAAAAGGGAAGGGGAGGGAAGGGAAGGGGGAGGGGGAGGGAACAGAAGGGAAGGGAGAGGAGTGAAGGAAGAAAGAAACCCAACATGTCTCCACTCAGAGAGGCCTCCTCTAACACTGTCTGACCACTGTACCTCCCACAGGTCCCCTTCACACTGCCTGCAACCCTCCCGGTACCCAGTGCCAAGTGCAACCACGACAGTGATTGGTCAGTCTGGCTTTGGATCTGCCTCCTCCCAAAGGATGATGTTCTGTGAGCAAGGTCTTGTCACTTGCTGTGTCCCCAGCGCTGGGACGGAGCTCAGCAGTGAACAACTGTTCTCGGGGCCTGGCTCACCGCTCCTTGACGATGTGGTCGAGCTTGTAGTTAGGCTTGTTGTCCTTCAGGCGCTCCACAGTGCTCCACTCGCTCTTCCCATAGGCCTTCCGGAGCTTCCGGACGAACACCTGGAAGGCAGAAGGCCATGCTATCTGCCTGTGTCACCAGCCCTCAGCCCAGGATTTACACAACAGCCAACACCACGAGCCCCAGACGGACCCATGATAACCACCAGAGCTAGACCAGGGCGGCTGTGGCAATGCCACCTGTCTACGTGGGAGAAGGCAAGGCCTATCAGCCCCATTTTCCTACTGAAAAGAGTCCAAGTGACCTGTCATCGAGGCAGATCAGGGTCAGAAGGGCCAGCCTGTCTGCACCACAGGAAACAGTGCCTACAGGGCACTCTGCCACTCAGAAAAGGGCAACTGAGACCAGGTCTCCTGAACCAGTGGCTGTCCTCCTTCCAAGTACGGCTATTCAGCCCAGGCCTAGGGCCCCTGAGACGCTCAAAGACCATCTGGGATTATACCCAGCAGCCCGGGGACAGCTGCCTCCCTCCACAGCCCCCTAACACAGGCGGTTTATGTGGCTGCAAAGCCCAGCAACGGCTGCTGCCCATTCTCCTATGGGCCACCAGGTGGCGCCCTTCTCGGCGGGCCTCCCAGTTACCTTCAGTTCATTAGCCTGCTTTCCGCTGTCTGCATTTGGTGGAACAGGTTCCAGCTGTCCCTGTGGCATCTGCGCACTTAAATGATCTCACTGTGGAACGGAAACCTGGGTCTCCTGGGAGCAATCTCAGAAAGCTCCAGAACAGGAGCTGTTTCTTTGGGCAGAGGGGACACCAGAAAGCCCCTGAAATAGCACCGCCTGTGCCTTGGGAGCAAAAAATGTAATCTTTCCCGAAAGAGCCAGGGAAAATTGTTAGCAGGTAATGCACCAATCACTGGTGAGGTCTTGTGCAAGTATTCCAGAGGGGACCTCAGTGAATTCTCATGACATTTGTTTGACGCAGAGCGACCGGTCCAGTCACAGCTGGGGAGTCGCAGAGTCGCAATGGGGACCCGTGCAGACACTAGAGCTCACCTTGTATTCCCGGAATTTGTTGACAATGGGCTCATGGAGAAGAAACTTGATGTCTTTGATGAGGTAAAAAGTTCGGGCTGCTGTGGAGCCCTTGTTAACTTTTTTCTTGTGTTTGGGTTCATGGGGATAAATGCCCTTCAGGATGCACAGCCGCCTGGAAGACAGAAGCCATCTGTGAAATCAGTAAAGGCATAGCTGGGCCTGGAAATTAATAGTGACCAGGGAGCTTGGGGACCCTGCCCTTAGCCACGTCCCAGTGCAGAGTCTGATGGTCACAAGCACCAGAAAGAGAACAAACAGGATTCTGACCGGGGCCGGTAGGCACCTAAGTCAGCAAAGGCCTTGATGAGGTGTTACAGCCACAGAAAAGGCAGAGGGACAAAGGTCATCAGGGCATCAAAAGCTGGCTGTGTGTGAAGAACTAAAAGTGGTCCAGGGGCAGCTGCAGAGGTGAAGGTTGGCCCAATGGCAGGGCCCATAGTTGTAGAGAAGGCTGAACTTGACTCTACAAACAGAAGCCAAACCTGTCGAAGAGAGGGGTGAGTGGCAAAGACCCAGTTGTGTAGCTTCCCCTCAGCCCGCCCCTGGCAATGCACAGCTCACTAATGCAGGGTGGGCAAGAGAGAGAAGGAATGCCAGGGTTCCAGACAGTGTGGCAGTGCAGGTAAGGACCGCAAGAATCCTACCCCACCACTCTCCATCCTCACCTGAAGTCAGGCAGGCTCAGTTGCAGCTTCTTCCGGGCTTTGTTGCGAGTGATGTAATTGGTGGCAGAGCCTCGTTCATACTTGAGGAGGAAAAACCAAGTCTCTGTTAGTGATGATTATAGTGGCATCAAACCCTGGCCTGCAGACTTCCAGAGGCAGCTATCACTCTGGCTAAGTGGCCAAGATGCTTCTGGAACAGGAATGGTTATAGGAGAGAGCTGACTGTCTGAAGACACACTCTTCAGTCCCTGTAGTTGTCAGCCTCGAGGACACAGAGAGCTGGATGATGATGGGGACCGGAAGGTGGCTGTGAATTGGACCCTGTGCCAAGTACTCAGTCCTACCTGTGTCTCAGCCAGAACAATTGGTGATCCACACTTTGTTTTATTCAGTCCTACAACCCTGTGTGGCGGGTGGCATTTGAACCCCTATTATTACATGAAGGAAGAAACAAGCTTAGTGAAACTGCCTGCCCAGGTCACAGCTTTGTAAGAGCTGGGGCTGGGATTCAAACCCAGGCCTGCGTCCACAGCCTGTATACCTAACAGCCAAGCCAGTGTCAGGATCCTTTTTCCCCACGACGTCCTCCTCACCACCACTAGAAGACCTTTCAGACACCCAGCACCACCCATTACCCTTTCTTCTCCAAAGCCCCATGAGACTTTAGCACCAGATATACTAGGAATTTGCTATGTGGTCACTGAAGGGGACACAAACCGCTCTAATAGCTAAAATAGCACCCCACCCCCCAAAAAAATTTTTGTTTCCTCAGGGATGATGGCACCCTGGTTAAAAAAATCATGCCTTAGCCGGGCACTGGTGGCTCACACCTAAAATCCTAGCTACTCAGGAGACAGAGATCAGGAGGATCACAGCTCAAAGCCAGCCTGGGCAAACAGTTTGCCAGATCCTATCTCGAAAAAAACAAAAAGAAAAATAAAAGGACTGGTGGAGTGCTCAAGGTGTAGCCCCTAAGGAAAAAAAAAAGGATTAAGCTGGATGCTGTGAGGGCAAGAGAAACAAAAGGCCAGGTCTCTTCCTGTCTCGTGCACCGTCTGCATGTCTCCGGTGCCAGCGTGGGGCCTCACACTTCCCCGCCTCCCTGACAGAGAGCAGTGCATTGTACTGAACGCCCTTCAATGCCGACCACGTCTTTTCCAAACAAGATCTCAGCTGGAGCAAGACGGCAGGGGGGTCTCCATGGCCAGGTTCAGCTCTAAAGAGTGTACCTGAAGCCCCCTGGAAACGTTTATCAATAAATCCTCAGCCACGAATTTATTCAAGCCTTCAGACACTCATTAATTTCTACTGCCATCAGGCCCATGCTAAGTCCTGGGGTTACAAAAATGGCCTCCAGATTGTCTTAAGAAATTCAGCTGTAGACTGGAGGAGGTGTGGCTCATGTGGTAGAGCACCTGCCTATCAAGTGTAAGGTCCTGAGTTCAAACCCCAATGCCACAAAGAAAACAAACAAACAAACAAAAAAACAAGCCCAGGTTTTATTGGAAGTGTTTTCACTTGCCCCATGCCCCCATGTTTCTTGGTCACCATGTTTATCCTTATAAACATTAAGAGGATAATTAGTTCTCTCTCTTTATTGACAGCACTGGGATTTGAACTCAGGACCTCACATTTTATAGGCAGGCACTCTTACTGCTTGAGTCACTCCAACAAATCTTAATTTTAGTTTTTGTTTGGTCATACTGGGATTTGAACTCAAGGTCTCATGCTTGCTAGGTAGACACTCTACTACTTGAACCAGGCCTCCAGCCCTTGATAATTACTTCTGCACATGATGATTTTACTCCCTGGATTGGGGAGAGGGAGTGTTTAGATTTCAACAATTTGGGGTTGTTGGGGACTACCAATATCTGGTGGGTAGAGGGTCCGAGATGTGGTTTCACATCCTACAATGCACAGGACAGCCTTCTCACGGCAAATAATTATTTTATTATGTCAAAGTGGTTCTGAAACCACTATGAAGAAGCGTAGTGATGCGTTTCCATATCTGCATCTTCAGCTCAAGGACAGGTTTTCCATGGGACACCTTGCTAGCTGCAATGGTTGAGCACTTACTGGATCCTCAGAGTGAGTTGGGTTAAAAACAAACGAAACTTTCAAGATGAAGGAAAGTGTGACCCTCTTTATGGCATCCCCTCCTCTGTCTCTTCATTGCCACCAAAGTGATTCTCCACACGGCAACGAGAATAGCTCCTTGGCAAACTTGGATTATGTGACTCTCCTCTTAATCAAAACTAGGCCAGATGCCGTGCATCATGGCTGTAATGTCAGCTACTCTCGAGGCAGAGATCATGAAGACCAAGGTTGAGGCCAGCCCTGACAAAGAGTCAGCAAGATCCCATCTCGACCCACAAGCTGAATGAGAGGCATAGGTAGGAGGGCTGCTGTGTTGAGGCCAGCCCCAGGCAAAAAAACGCAGACCCCATGAGAAAAATAACTAGAAGGTGAAAAGGGCTGGAGGTGTGGCTCAAGCAGTAGAGGACCTACCTACCAAGTTCCAGCTCCATGACCACCAACAGACAACAGGTCTTACATCTTGTCGAACCCCACCCTCAACCAGAAGGCCCTGTTCCCTCCCTCACTGCATCCCAGTGCTGTGGATGGCCTTACAGACCTCCGCACTCAGCAATCTGAGTCTTGACATCAAGTCTCCACTGCCCAGTCCCATGCCCCAGAACCTATCCAAGAGGTTCAGATCTTCCAGATTTCCACTTAAGCGTTGGGCTTTGAAAAGAACTTCCAAGACAACCTAATACAGTCTCCACCCGCATCCCTCGATGGCTTCACTCATGACACATCTGCCGCCCTGTAATCATTTTATTTGGATGTCTGATCTTGCGTCCATCTTCCCCGTGTACCAGAAAGTGAGCTCGAGTGAAGCAGGGACCGCATCTGATTGTTTTCGTCTCCATCCCCGGTGCTTGGTTTTAATGGAAAAGGACTAAGTCTTAGAGATTATGAACTGTACGTCCCATTGATCGCTCCTTCGGGAACTGTCGTCCCACGGCTCGGCCTGATCCTGGGGTGACGTTGGGCTTGGTGAGCTCAACTCTCTTTCAGGGTGTTCTACACGGAGAACTCCACAGTTCTTCCCCCACGGTCCCCCGAACCCCTTCTAGTGGCGGCCTCCTGTCGCCTTGATCCTTCTGTTCATGTTCCCATAGGGGGCCGAAGCCAGGGAAAGAGACAGCGATCGGTGTTTTCACCTCCCGTCTCTCACTCGCTGGGGACCCCAGCGTCTCCCCCAACTCACCTTCTTTTTCTCCAGGCCTCCCATGGCTCCACGTTGAGGAGCCTACGAGCGCCGCGCGGACAGACAGCGCCACTTCCTCCTGTACGTGCCCTGCGCAGGACCTCGAGGACCCCCCCGCCGCCCCGCCCCGCCTGCCTGCGCGGGCTGCCCAGGGAGATGCCTGTAAGAATATGGGGGTAAGTGGAGATTTCATTCCGAGATTTACACCTAAGCCCTCTAAGAATAAATGAATGAGGCAGTTTTTCCTGATGTTTTCCATCGGTCCATCTATTATACATAGTGTCAACTTTAAAACGATAGGGGGAATTCAGGCATTTTAATAAACACCCTGATGACGATGGCCCCCATGTGATGCCCCCGTTGCATGTTGGGATACAGAGGGGCGGAAGACTTGGAGATAGTGCAGTGCCTTCTGGGATGCAGAGGGGAAACAACGCTCGGCTGTGCAGTGACCCGAGTTCTGTTGTCATGGCAACAGTTGGTAGGCGTCCTTGGAATGGGGGCTGGTACTGAATTCATTTCATCCAAAAATGATGCTTTTCAAAAACACAAAAAGTTAATAATTAAAGGGAAAAATGATGCTTTTTAAAAATTAGTGTATATTAACTGTACAAAATCATATCATATTGTGATATTTTCATCCATGCATATAAATGTAATTTGATCAAATTCACCCACTTAGTCGCATTTTTTTTCGTGGGACTGGGATTTGAACTCAGGGCTTCCCCTCTAAGGCTTGAGCCCCACCTCCAGTCCATTTTGCTTTGGTTATTTTGAAGATGGGGGTTTTGTGAACTATTTGCCCCAGGCTGGCCTCGAACCGCGATCCTCCAGATCTCAGCCTCCCAAGTAGCTGGGATTACAGATGTGAGCCACCAGCGCCGGGCTCTTCGTGGCATATTTTAAAAGTATAATCTGCCAGGTGTGGCGGGAACTTGCCCAGAGAAATGTGAGGAGAACCAGACGTGTGGGGTGGTCGCAGCAGAACCTTCAGGAAGAACTGGGGACAGGGTTGGGAGTGGAGCTCTGGGGCTCAGCCTTTTCATCCCATGCATGGGACCCTGGCTTTCATCCCCAGCACCACAGGCAGTTTTTCAAAAACTAAGGGCTCAGGAGCATGGCTAAAGTAGTAGACTGCCTGCTTAGCAAGTGTCAGGCCCTGAGTTCAAGTCCCAGTATTGTCAAAAATTAATCAGAAACTAAAATGAAAAAGATAAAAAAAAATATCTGAGGTCAAAAGAAGGGATGCTGGTGAGGGGGAGAGGAGGGAGTGCCCAGGTCAGGGTAATCGTGCAGCACATTCAGAAAACTCCAGAAGTCATCATGCCTGAAATGTGGAGCGTCTGATTGCAGCAAGAGGTGAGGGCAGCAATGGCTGACTCATGAAGGGAGTGTGGCTGGACTGGGACAGTCACCATGTAAGAGACACTGAAACTGCTTCTGCTGCTGGACACCAGTGCCTCACTCCTGAAATCCCAGCTACTTGGGAAGCTGAGTTCCAGAGGATTTTGTGGTTTGAGGCCACCCCAAAAAATGCTTTGTCTCAGAAGCACTGACTCCTTTTTTGGGCCCATGAATTAGCTTAGAACAGGAGAAAAGCTTGGCATCTCCGTCTCCATCTTGTACCTGTCGTCCCTTGCGCCGAGCCATTCTCTCCTGCAGCCACCCTGGAATCCAGGAAGGACAGGAATGATCGATCACATCTGATGACAAGGGACTAAAACTCCCCCTAAGGAACAGTGGAGCCTTGCAGGACAGGCCACCCCCCAAATGAGGACAGTGACCTGCAGTGACAAGGCTGCACCCTGGAACAGGAGTCATCATGTCTTGGGAACCAGACTGCTCCCCTCAAGTGATGACAACTTCTCCTTGAAAACTCCCAAGGACAATGACCCACTGGACCAGATAAAGGTCATCCGGGCCCCACTGGACCAGTCCTGACACAAGGAGCTGCAACTCCACCTGCCTGGTGCTATCTCTGACCATAGGAACCCTTCCGGAACGGGGACTGTGTAACTCTTCATGCCTTTTGTCCCCTGTCCCCAGTTCTTAGTCTGTACCCTGAAGACGGCTGAAGACGAGCTGAGTGCTTACTCTGCCTCTTCTTATGGCATCTCCTGGGACATGACTGTCACCATTTACAGGTGCAGGTAGCTGGACGTGACACATGGAAGGCCAGGATCCAAAACTCCAGTTTCAGCCAAGGTTCTCGTACTTGGTCCACTGCCCTGGAGCTGTCTTGAAAGTCTTAGGGTTTTTTTGTGCGTGAGTGTCAGTACTCAGGTTTGAACTCTGGGCCTCACATTTGCAAGGCAGGTCCCCTACCACTTGAGCCACTCCACCAGCCCTTTTTTGTGTTGGGAATTTCTGTTGGGTGTCTTGAACTATTTGCCCTGGGCTGGCCTCCAAGCACAATCCTCCTGGTCTCTGCCTCCTGAGCAGTTGGGATTACAGGTGTGAAACATGGGTTCGTGATTTTTTTTTCTTGCTTAATTGCTATGGCTAGTACAAGGTTGAATAGCTTTGGTGAAATCAAGCATCCTTGTCTTGTTCTGATCTTTATTCAGGGTGGGAGTTTTTCAGGCTTTCACTATCCAGTGTGGTGTTAGCACTGGGTTTTTTCCTAAGTGCTTTTTACTGTGTTAAGGAAGGTTTTTTGTTTTGTTTTGTTTTTTGTTTTCTGTGCCTAGTTCGCTGAGTGGCTTTATCATGAAATGGTACGGGGTTTTGTCAGACACTTTTTCTACATCGGTTGAGATGATCTTGTGGTTGGTTTGTGGCCTTTGTCTGCTAATGAAGTGTTTTGTGTGAACTGATTTTTGTGATAAAGCACTTTTGAATTCTGGGAGGAACCTTACTTGCTCATGAATGGTGTCCCGTTCGTTCAGCATTGCTGTTGAACTCGGGAGTCTGTTTTGGAGGATTTTTCCTCGCTGTTGATGAAATCGGCCTGTAGTTTTCTTGTGGTATCGTTGTCTGGCTTCAGTACCAGGGTAACACTGGCTTCGTAGAACGAGTTGAGAAGAGTTCTTCCTCTTCTATGGTTGGTCTTGGTGATGCTAGGATGGAACCCAGGGACTCACACATGCTAAGCAGGCACTTCTGGGGAGCCCTTCTATTTTGGGGAAGAGTTTGGGGAGGCGTTAATCCGGCGTTAATTCTTCTTTAAGTGGTAGGTACAATTCACCAGGATTGAACCGTGATCCTCCCGACCTCTGCCTCCTGAGCAGCTAGGATTACAGGCGTGAGCCACTGGCATTGGCTCCCCTTTTTTTTTGTTGATAAGTTATCTGCTGACTTGTCTGTTTTATTTATCATAATTTTCAAATTATACGCTCTTGTATTCACTCATCTATCTTGGTAGAGTTATTCTTTGTATTAAATGAGATAGTGCTTAGGGGATAAGATCTGATTGTGTGTGTGTGTGTATAGTGTGGATAAAAATCAAAATATTATCTGAAAAAAAATGCCTTAATGTTTTGAAAGCATCTAACACAGTGCCAGACGCTGAGGTAGGACTCAAGAAGAAGTGCTGGTGCCGAGCTGAGTGGAAGGTTGGGTTTTCTGTGTGGGTGGTGGGACTGGGACTTGAACTCAGGGCCTTGCCCTTGCAGGAATGCTCTATCACTTGAGCCACCCCCTCAGCCCAGAAGGTTCTTTCTATAAGAAGGATGTCTCAAACCATTGTTTCTTAGCAGATTGCAATCAAATTGCACCGTGGGACAAGTGGAGGGGTGGAAAGCCAAGGCCAGAGATGGGTCCGAGCTTAAAGTGACAGGAGGGCAGAGATGTCACTGCTTCTGGAATGTCCCCTTCCTAGTGGGAAGCACACACCACTCAACAGTGTGAGGGAGCTGGGGTCCATGGGGGAGGAGGAAGGGGACACCAGAGGTGACCTGGAGGCCTTTGCTTGGATGCGATTTTCAAGAGACAACAGCCTGACTTACCAAGGCTGTGTACAGAGAGCGACGGGCAGCTGTGGTGCTCTGAACAAACGTCTTCACCTCTCTGAGCTTCCATCCCCCATGGACTTGTTAGCAGGACCACAGAACAAATGTGCAGTGAAATGAAACCAGAAAGTGCTAGAAAAATCAAAATGTCCCTGTGATGACTGAGATTTTATTTTTATTTTTCACCTTATTATTATTTATTCATTTATTTATTTTTTTGTGGCACTGGGGTTTGAACTCAGGGCCTACACCTTGAGCCACTCCACCAAAATACCCTCACTCTGTGAAGGGTATTTTGAAGACAGGGTCTCTCGAACTGTTTGCCCTGGCTGACTTCGACCCGAGATCCTCTTGATCTCCGCCCAGAGTGACTGGGAGTTTAAGAGTGAGCCCAACTCCGTGTGATCATCACCAGTCACTCACTTAAAGCTATTTAAATTTAAAATAATTGCCAGATGCTGGTGGCCCACTCCTGTAATCCTAGCTACGTAGGAGGCTGAGTTTGGGAGGATCACGGTTCGAGGCCAGCCCAGGCAAACAGTTCTCGAGACTCCATCTCCAAAATAAGCAGAGCAAAATGGACTGGAGGAGCGGCTCAAGCGGTAGAGCGCCTGCTTTGTAACTGCAAAGCCCTGAGTTCAAATCCAAGTCCTACCAAAAACTAAAATAATTCATTGCTAACAAAAGCTGAGTTCCTCTGACACAGGGAAGTATATTGTTCCCATAAGCCACCTGGTACCTGGAAAGCTCTCAAGATTCCTTGGGTGCAGCCTTCTGTTTTCACAAATCAAGTTGTTAATTATTTATTCAGACATTTTTTTATCCTAACCAGATCCGGGTCTGGTTTACTCATTGCTGGACAAGCAAAGAAGGTGCCATGGTGATAAGTGGAGCAGAGGCTGTTCCCAAGCCAGCAGTTCAGTTGTTAAAGATTTCACTGGTGCTCCCACCTGTAATCCCACTCAGGAGGCAGAGATCAGGAGGATCGAGGTTCGAGGCCTGCCGGGGCAAATAGTTTGTGAAACCCTAGCTCGAAGAAAATGCAGCACACACACACACACAAAAAAAGGATTGGTGGAGTGGCTCGAGGTGCAGGCCCTGAGTTCAAACCCCAGTGCCACAGGCTTTTCCTGTCTTTTGCTATGTGACACCCTGTGCCTCAGGAGTCTGCCGGAAGAAGGCCATCACCAGATGTTGCCCCTTGACCTTGGACCCTGTCACACATCACAGCTGCTCCAGGATGGACAGGAGGCTGAGAGCAGCAGAGCAATCACTGAGCCCCAACTCCGTGCTGGAGGCCCATTAGTCATTTTGATTGTGATTCAACCACAGGGACCTTCTTTCCTGACACAGGCATTCGTCTGTCCTCACAGGGACACCTTCTGAGGTGTGGGGGTGTCTTTTCTGCTAGAGGTCACCCAGCTCCACTGTCCACAATGCCCGGTCTGCAGGGCTGGGTGTCACGATCAGAGACTCGTTCTAAACCCATTCTAAACCCAAGCAAGTGCAGGAGCGACCAGCGGCCATGGGATCCAGGCCCGTGTTATCTGCCACGCCACTGGAGGTGACCAGCACCACGGGGGACCGGGAACAGCCTTCGAGAGGCTTGGGGTGGGTGGCGGACGCTCTGAAATCGGGGCCGACTCTTCCAGTGACCATGACGGGGAAATGCTGCATTTCCCAATCCTGCAACCCGGGGCCCTGAGGACTGGAGGTCCTGGTCCCGAAGAAGTGGTTCTTCTTCCTTCTCCTCCTCCATCTCCTCCTCCTCCTCCATCTCCATCTCCATCTCCTCCTCCATCTCCATCTCCTCCTCCATCTCCTCCTCCATCTCCTCCTCCTCCTCCATCTCCTCCTCCTCCTCCATCTCCTCCTCCTCCTCCATCTCCTCCTCCACCTCCTCCATCTCCTCCTCCATCTCCTCCTCCTCCTCCATCTCCTCCTCCATCTCCTCCTCCTCCTCCATCCTCCTCCTCCATCTCCTCCTCTCTCCATCTCCTCCTCCATCTCCTCCTCCACCTCCTCCATCTCCTCCTCCTCCTCCATCTCCTCCTCCATCTCCTCCTCCACCTCCTCCATCTCCTCCTCCATCTCCTCCTCCTCCTCCATCTCCTCCTCCACCTCCTCCATCTCCTCCTCCATCTCCTCCTCCTCCTCCATCTCCTCCTCATCTCCTCCTCATCTCCTCCTCCTCCTCCATCTCTCCTCCTCCTCCATCTCCTCCTCCATCTCCTCCTCCACCTCCTCCATCTCCTCCTCCTCCTCCATCTCCTCCTCCATCTCCTCCTCCACCTCCTCCATCTCCTCCTCCACCTCCTCCATCTCCTCCTCCTCCTCCACCTCCTCCATCTCCTCCTCCTCCTCCATCTCCTCCTCCTCCATCTCCTCCTCCTCCTCCATCTCCTCCTCCTCCTCCATCTCCTCCTCCATCTCCTCCTCCTCCCCCATGTGTTGAGTTGTCACTATGAGGGAGACCCCTCCCCAGCAGAGGGCCTATGGACCCCTCAAGGCAAAGGTTGAGGGGAGGGTGGGGAAGAGTGAAATGTCAACCAGGAAGGTTTTGATGGCTCCAGCAGCCAGGGCTGAGTGGGAAGGCTTAGCCTCAGGCCTGGGCAGGAGAACGGTCCCATCATTTGGGTTGAGACCTCTCCATTGCGCACCCCCGGTCCCAAAGCTCCCCTGGAGGTCCCAATCCAGAGTCCTGCAGAAGTCAGGCCCTTGACTTGCCTCACTCCTTTCCTGGAACCCCCACAGGTGCTTCCCATGTGTTTACAAGGGAGCAGCATGGTGTGCCTGTAATCCCAGCTACTCAGGAGCCTTGAGCCCAGGGGTCCCAGGCTGGGAGTCACCATGCCCATCGTGTGTCTGCCCTAAGTATCTAGCAGGACGGTCCCACCCGGGGATGGCCACTGCGTTCTAGCCCAGGCCACATGGTGAGTCCATATCTTCAAACACCCACACACACTGGGCGTGGTGGTGCCCACCTGTAATCCCAGGCAGGAGGATGTTGAGTTTGAGGCCAGCTTGGGCTACATAGCAAGTTCAAGTCCAGCCAGTCTGCACGGTGGGTTTGAGACCAGTCTGGGCCTCATCAAGGGCTTATCTCAAACAAAACAACACACACACAATTAGATTCTTAAGAACAAACAGAAGGACACCGCCATATTTAGCTGTGTTGAGAACTTGATTTAGGGGCTGGTAGGGTGGCTCAAGCAGTAGAGCACTGAATTCAAACCCCCAGTGCCACGAGAGAGAGAGAGAGAGAGAGAGAGAGAGGAGAGAGACAGAGACAGAGAGAGACAGAGAACTTGACTTCAATAAATCAGGTACAAAATAGGTTATCTTGAAAGAAGGAAGCTTGGCAATTCTCCCTAAAATAATTGAATCAACCCGGAGATGATTCAACCTGTTTTATAACCTCACATGTTGAACTGGAAAGGAAGCTGCTGGAATAATCTTGTCCAACTCTCATCTCTCACACTTGGCAGTTTTTCAAACTCAGAGAGGTTGAGTAACTGGGCCAAGGTCACACAGCCTCGCTGGTCAACTCACATACATTGAATATTGACTCCCTCTCGGGGCCGGCTGTGTTCCTTCTTCTCTCGGCAGATAATTTTGAAGTGACTTTCACAATCCTGGCAGGCAGCCTTGCTTCCAGCAGCTCTGTGACTCCCATGATTCAGTCTCCTGTGACTTGTTTTGTTCCGTCGGCTGGGGAAACCCCAGCTTTCTCTGGTTGGTGGAGAAACCGGGCTGTCTGGGCCGGTCCAGGGCTGGCTGTCCCGCCCCTGGGCAGGGTGGAGGGCAGGCAGGCCTAGCACAGCTGACTCTGGAACTCTCACTCATGTGACCACCGAGGCTCCCTGCTCTGGGACTTGTCCCCAGCCTCAGAGGACGCTTGGAGGGACTCCGATGAGGAGCAGCAGGTAGGCACCCAGTCCTGATCGTCCCCCTCTGCAGAGCTGTGGACCAGACCCAGGCACAGTGGGGAAAACTTGGGGAGCAAAGATGGCAGTCTGTCTGTCTGCACTGCTCCAGGGCTCTTTAAACAGCGGGTGGCTCCAAGTTGTCCTGCTGAGTCGCCCTTCCCTTTCCTCTGTCCCCCCCTCCGGGAGGATGAGGACAGCTGCCCTGCCTTTTCCGTCCTCTGTTCTTTGGCCTCCCCTGCCTCCTTAACAAAAGACCTTTCTCCCTTTCTTTCTGCTGACTTCACAGAGCTGCAGGCTTAGAGAGATTAATCAGTGACAGGAGCCACCTCTGTCGGGGGTGACCGGTTGTGGTCAGAGGAGTCTGACCTGCTGCCCATCTGCCCGCCACTCACCTCTCCCTGCTCCACCATGGGCCACCTCGGGGCTTTTCTCTTCCTTCTGGGGACCCTGGGGGCTGTGGCTGACATCTGTGGTGAGTAACAGACCCTGTCCGATGCCGTGCTCCTCCCTGGGTCTTGGGGAGGGAGGACGGCCTTGGCCAACTCCTTTTCATTACAAAGCTGGGGAAACTGAGGCTTGAGGGTGGGCTGGGGAACTTAGCTCGGGGCTCCCGCGGCAGTTAGGGCCGATATTTTGTGTAGGGGTTAATTAGATATCTGACTCCCCACCAGATAAGATCTGCTCCATTACTTCGGGTATCTGTTTGGTTATTCATTCAACACACCTGAATTTAGGTTTTGCTGCACCAAGGCCCAATGTTAGGGTTGAAGAAAAAAATAGTGGGACAGGCCGGGTGCAGTGGCTCACGCCTGTAATCCTAGCTTAGCTAGGAGGCTGAGATCCAGAGGATCAAGGTTTGAGGTCAGCTCAAGCACACGGTTCCTGAGACCCCCATCTCCAAAATAAGCAGAGCAAAATGGACTGAGGTGTGGCTCAAGGGGTAGAGCGCCTGCTTTGCAAACGCAAAGCTCTGAGTTCAAATCCCAGTCCCACCAAAAAAAAAAAAAAAAAAAAGAATGGGACAGGGCTGATCCCTGCATTTATGTTCTAGAAAAGAGACCAAAAAGAAAAAAAAAAATCAGGTACCAATTTGTGGAGGGGGCACCCTGAGGGACCGCTCAGGACCTGTCTGCGTGTCTCAGACCACAGGTTTAGGGTCACTTGTGCACCAGGGCCAGGCGACAGACCTCAGGCTCTGACTGCCCGCCTCTCTCCTGCGATCCTCGGCTCTGCACACCTGTGGGAACAGGCCTCACCCACTTTTCTGAGCCTGGGTAAATCTGGCTTCTTCCTTCTAAGGGCGGCGCTGCGGTGATCAGCTGTCTGCCCACTCCTGTTCTTGTCACTTCTCGTCCTCCATCCCTTCTCCTCCTTCCTCCTCTCCTCTTCCTCCCCCTTCTTCCTCCTCCTCCTCCCTCGTCCTCCTCCTTCTTCTTGGTGGTACTGGGACTTGAACTCAGGGCCTCACACTTGCCAGTACTCCTTCTACCACTTGAGCCACTCCACCACCCTCCCATCTTATCACTTCAACCCCAGCTGGCTCACAGCCTGCAGGTCAGGAAGGAGGAGAAGAAAAGAATTCTGGAGGAACAGATGATCAGAGAGACAGATAGACTGAGACAGACAGACAGACCCAGAGAGCCAGGGGGAGAGAGACAGAGGGAGGGAGAGAGAGAAACTGCTACAGGAATGCAGACAGAGACAGCCAGGGAGGGAAAAGAAAAGCAATCTCCCTTTCTGTTTTTTCTTTTCCTTTTTTTTAGTGGGACAGGGATTTGAACTCAGGGCTTCCCACTTGCAAAGCAGGCGCTCTACCACTTGAGCCACACCTCCCGTCCATTTTGCTCTGGTTTTTTGGAGATGGGGGTCTCATGAACAATTTGCCTGGACTGGCCTCGAACCACGATCCTCCCGATCTCAGCCGCCCAAGTAGCTGGGATTACAGGCGTGAGCCATCGGTGGCCGGCTTCCGTCTCTCTTAATGAGTGAATATTTGGTGAGAGACAGGCCCGGCACAGCAAAGAATGATTTAGAGTTGTCACCAGTGAAATGTCACCGGATAGCAACAAATGCCTGTGACTTTGGGGGAAACAGGCATAAGGGGGTCCGACCCAAACTTGAAGAAACGGGGCTATGGTCCAGGAACCCTGGTTATGGGGACAGGAGGCCCTGGGGGCAGGAGAAGCGCCCTGCAACACTTGTCCTTAGTCCCCTGGGAGGGGTGGCCTTCCTGGTACCCTGGATGGAGCCAGCAGCAGCTGTAATGGGGACAGAAAGTCCAAGTGCCTCCACGACAGTCTACGCTAAGGGATCCCTTTTTTTTTTTTTTTTTTTTGGTGGCACTGGGGTTTGAACTCGGGGCCTCTCGCTTGCTAGGCAGGTGCTCTACCACTTGAGCCGCTCCTCCAGCCCTTTCTTGTGTTGGGTATTTTTGAGATAGGGCCTCGTGCTTTTGCCCTGGCCAGCCTCAGACCATGATTCTCCCGCCTCCACCTCCCAAGTAGCCGGGATCACAGACGTGAGTCACCACACACAGCCCGTAGGTTGAGTTGGGGTTCTCACTAATCTTTGCCTGGTCTTGAACAGAGGTCCGCCCATCTTCTCCTTCTGCATAGCTGGGATTACAGGCATGCAGCACCATGCCCAGCCCTGGGGACCCTGTTGTGAGCTCAGCCGGAGCTGGGAATAACCCACCCTGAGGCTTCTGCCTCTGGACTATGCCGGTGTCTTGGCAGAGCTTCGAGTAAATCGACACTCAGAGATGAATGGATGCCGCGGGGCCGTTTTCACTTAAACACAGACGTGGCAGGGGACGTGTCCTTTTGAGACTGCTGGAGGCGTTTCACCAGGAAGCCACACACACACACACACACACACACACACACACACACACACGGGAGCCAGCTGGCAACATTGGATTTATAGCTGGGCGCAGTGGCTCACGCCTGTAATCCCAGCTACTTGAGAGGCAGAGATGGGGAGGATCACGGTTCCAGGCCAGCCCGAGCAAATAGCTTGTGAGACCCCATCTCTAAAATCACCAGAGCAAAATGGCTCAGGTGGTAGAACACCTGCTTTGCAAGTGTGAAGTCCTGAGTTCAAATCCCAGTCCCCCCAAAAAAATTTTAAAAAAAGAAAAGAAAATTGAACCTGGTGCCTGTAATCCTAAACTAGCAGAGATCAGGAGGATCATGGTTCAAAGCCAGCCTGGGCAAATGGATTACAAGACCTTGTCGCAAAAAAACAAAAACCAGCATAAAAAATGTCTGGTGGAGTGGCTCAATGAGTTAAAAACCATCCGCAAAAGCCAAAGAAGAGAAAATTGGATGTATCATTTGGGCTGCGTGCAGGCTGAAGTTTTTGTTTTTGTTGCAGTGTGGAGGTTTGAACTCAGGGCCTCACACTTGCTAGGCAGAAGCTCTACCACTTGAGCCACTCCACCAGCCCTGTTTTGTGAAGGGATTTTCGAGATAGGGTCTCCTGAATTATTTGCCTGGGCTGGCTCTGAACCTCGATCCTCCTGATCTCCGCCTCCCGAGTAGCTGGGATTACACGCGTGCGCCACCACACCTGGCCCTAACTGCTCTTTGGGGTATCTGCTTACCTACTGCATTTCAGTATAGAGGCATTGTCTGTGCAGGTGGCCTGTGTCCTGGGTAGTGCTGGGAGGGGACCGTTTTTTTCCCTGGGGAAAACCCTGGTCAGGTCAAAGCAGCTGTTTGCCAGCGGCCTGGCTCTGTGGCCTCACTCGCCCCGTTTTCTTTCCTCAGTCACCGCAGGCGGACAGCCAGGTGGTGAAGAAGCTGGGCCAGCGCCTCTTGCCGTGGCTGGACCGTGTGTCCCCTGAGCATCTGAACCCCAGCCTCTACTTGGGCCTCCGCCTCTCCAGCCTGCAGGCCGGGGCCAAGGAGGACCTCTACCTGCACGGGCTCAAGCTGGACTATCAGCAGTGCCTCCTGAGGTGTTGCTGCCCTCTCTCTTCTTCCCCTGAGACACGGGACACCGGGGTTCTGGGTGTCCCTCTCCCAGCTTTGCTAACTGGGCCTTTCTCCACCTGCAGAAGGAAGGGGTTGGTTGGACTAGACCAGAGATGCTAGCGTGGGGTCCTAGAGCTGCCATTGCACCAGCCTGTGCAGCAGGCAGCCATCATCTCCAATGCAGGGCCAAGCTCTCCAACGGACCCCAGAGATAAACGTCCTCCTGTGCTCCGTTTCCAGGAAGCATTAAGGAGAGCCCTGTTCAGAGATTTGAATGAGAAGTGAAGAATCAGGAGCAGCCAAGACTCTTCACCTTCCTACTGGGACTCTCTTTCTCTCAAGAAATGGATGCAGGGGAGGGAGAGGGAAGAAAGGAAAGAGGGCACGAGCAAAGCACGGCCAAAATATGGGTCAAAAACAGCCGATTTGGACCTAGGAGCCCTCAGAGTTTAATCTTTCATTTTAGGGCCAGGTATGGCAGTGCAAGCTTATAATCCCAGCTACTCAAGAGGCAGAAATCAGGAAGATCTCATTAGCAAGACCCCATCTCAACTAATAAATGGAGCATGGCGATCCACAGCTATAATCCCAGCTACTACAGAGAGGCATGGACAGATCCTAGTTTGAGGCGGCCTGTAGACAAAAATGCAAGAGCCTAGCTGAAAAATAATTAAAGGGAAAAAGGGCTGGGAGTGTGGCTCAGTGGTGAGAGCGCCAAAAGCCCCGAGTTTAAACCCCAGCACCAACAAAAAATTACAAAATAAAACAAACTTTGCTCTTTTTAAATATCCGTGGCCTACGTGCTCAACAGCATAGCTAACTACGCCCAATCTGCTGGTTTTAGAAAAGTTACATAGAAAAATTTTGGCAGTACTGGGATTTGAACTCAGGGCCTCAGCCTAGCCCCCAGCTGTTAGGACTTTTTCTACTTTGTGCTGTTCCTCAAGCCAGGCTTACCGAGACGACGTCTGCTCACAGAGGCGCTGTTTCCCTGGCTTCATCCTAGATCTGACGATGACAATGACAACAGTGAGTGCCAGACCAGGCCGTCCATGGGTCAGCTGGCTGTCTACCTCCTGGCCCTCAGGGCCAACTGTGAGTTCGTCGGGGGCCGCAAAGGGGACAAGCTGGTGTCGCAGCTCAAGTGGTTCCTGGAGGATGAGAAGAAGGCCATCGGTGAGGGGACACCGTCTGTGTGGCCGGGCGTCCCAAAAAGACATGAGTCTTTTGGGGTTTTTTTTTTTTTTTTATTGCAGCGCTGAGGTTTGAACTCACGCCCTCACGCTTGTGAGGCGGAAGCTCTACCACTTGAGCCGCTCTGCCAGCCCTGTTTTGTGATGGGTTTTCTCAAGATGGGGTCTCGCAAACTATTTGCCCAGGGCTGGCTTTGAACTGCGATCCTCCTGATCTCTGCCTCCCGAGTAGCTGGGATGACAGGCGCGAGTCTGGCTTGTCATCGGATGAGATTCTCGATGAAAATCAGGGAGGGGTGGCTCAAGAAAGGGTGAGCCCTGAGTTCAAATCCCAGTCCCACCAAAAAAACAAAAATGACCACCCACCTCTGGGACACCGTGTGGCCTCCTTACTGTCCCTCCTTAGCCCGTCTCTGCCAACTTTCTGGCCTTCTGACAACAGCCAGAGCAAGGCTTTTCAACAGCAGTCCTGAGCCGGGTTTGATATGGTAGCTCACACCTGTAATCCCAGCTGCTTGGGAAGCAGAGGTAGGAAGATCTCAGTCCAGGCCACAGTTGGAAGACCCCATCTGTAAAACAAACTAAAGCAAAAAGGGCTGGGAGCATGGTTCAAGTGGTACAGCACTTGTCTAGCAAGTGCAAGGTTGTGAGTTCAAATCCCAGTACCACCCAGCTTCTTGCTGGGAGGAAGGAGGCCTGACGAGAGCTCTTGGTCCCTTGCTCTTCTCCCTTCCAGGGAACGATCACAGTGGCCAACCCCACAGCAGCTATTACCAATATGGCCTCAGCATCCTCGCCCTATGCGTCCACCAGAAGCGGGTCCACGACAGCGTGGTGGGCAAGCTCCTGTACGCTGTGGAGCACGACCACCTCCACCAGGGCCACCTGTCTGTGGGTGAGTAGGCCAGGACCAGGCCACAGGCCTCCCTGTCCTGTCCCCATGCTCACCTGCCCCTGCCCCTTATCAAACTCCTCAGTGGTGAAACGGCGGGCTCAGCCTGACCCCGCTCCCTCCCACGCTCGTTGTAGGACCAGGTGACCCTTCCTATATGACCTTCTAGAAAGAACTGTCTTGCTGGGGCCCAAAGAGCTGCCAGCAGGGAGCTGGTTCTGCCCCAGGAAGCTTATCGAAAAACTCCAGTGGAGCCAAGCATGGTGGCACATGCCTGTAATCCCAGCTCTGAGGAGGAAAAGACAGGAGGATCCTGAGTTTGAGGCCAGCCTGGGCAACCTAGCAAGACCCTGTCTCAAAAAACCAAACCAAACCAAAAAAAACCCCCTAAGGCCCCATACCAGTTAAAGCAGACTTCCTGGGGGTAAACTGAGGCAGTGGGGGGGTAGCTCAATGCTTGCCTAGGATTTCACTCACAGCGCCGTAAACAAACAAGGAAGGAAACCCCCCTGGAGGTTCCAGTGCCAGGGCTGATTTGGGTAAAGGAGCCACAGCTCCTGGGCGCCCCCTCTACTCTGGCTGACCTTTAACCTCCCGGGAGTAAGGTGACCAGCCAAACCAGTTTGCCAGGGACACAGAGCGTCCCAGTGAGGGTCCTGGGCAAAGCACAGTGACCCTGCTGTGCTGACCTTGGGTTTCCCCTACGTCCTCCCGTGAGCCACCACCCCAAGGTCATGCCTGGCTGGCCTGGCCCACGTGGCCATCGAGCTCATCCGAGCTCCTGTCCCCCAGACGCCCTGGCCATGGCTGGCTTGGCCTGCTCCTGTCTGGAGCGCATGGACTTCAACCCTGAGATGCGTCAACGGATCGCCACGGCCTTGGGGACAGTGCGGGGGAAGATCCTGCTGGCCCAGACCCCCGAGGGCCACCTTGGCAATGTCTACAGTACCCCGCTGGCACTGCAGGTGGGACAGGCGCCACGGCCACCTCGGGGGCCACCGGAGGGTGGGCCAGCCGGAGGGCAGAACACCTGTCCTCGCAGCTGTGCCACCTTCTCCCTGTCCTTGCCACCTGTCACAGTTGCTGAGGGCTTCTTCCCCTGAGCCCGGGGCGGAGCTGGGCACAGTGTGTCTGAAGGCGGGGACAGCTCTTCTGGCCAGCATAAAGGAGGGGGCCTTCCAGAATGTTCTCATGATTTCTCAGCTGCTGCCTGTCCTCAACCGCAAGACCTACCTGGACCTCATCCACCCAGAGTGCCAGGCGCCCAGAGGTACCGAGCCCTTTACAACGGCCTCTCAGCCTCCAGGGAAAGGAGGTTTTTGTTTTTTGGGTTTTTTTTTTTTTTTTAACAGCATTGGGATTTGAACTCAGGGCCTTCACCTTGAGCCACTCCACCAGCCCTTTTTTATGAAGGGTTTTTGCCAGACAGGGTCTCATGAACTAATTGCCCAGGCTGGTTTCGAACCTCGATCCTCCTGAGCTCTGCCTCCTGAGTGGCTGGGATTACAGGCGTGCACCGTGGCACCTGGCCAGGGACAGGAGTTTGCTAGATGCTGATTTGCGTGGGACACAGCAGCTGAGATGTGGTGGATGGCTGCACACACTCAGTGTGGGGACACGGAAACCAAAGGAGCACTGGGGGTCGGCCCCCTAGGTGACACCCGGGGCAGACATGTTTGAGTGAACGAATGGGGCGTGAATGAGAGACACACTTTCGTGATGAGCGTCCAGTTGCGGTAGCAATAAAATGGGGTGTCTATGGCCTGGGGGGGGAGGTGAGTGGGGCTTGCAGGGGAGAGGGAGGACAGGGCACAGAGAAGGCAGCAAAAGCAAAGGCACAGAGAGGTTAGGAATTTGAACTGGATGCCGGGCACAGTGGCTCACACCTGTAATCCCAGCTACTCAGGAGGCAGAGATCAGGAGGATCGAGGTTCAAAGCCAGCCCAGTTTAATAGTTCAAGAGACCCTATCTTGAAAAAAACCCATCACCAAAAAGGGCTAGTGGAGTGGCTCAAGGTGAAGGCCCTGAGTTCAAACCCCAGTACAAAAAAAAAAAAGAATTTAAACTGGGAATAGTAGCTCCTGCCTATAATCCCAGCTACTCAAGGGCAGAGATTGGGAGAACCACGATGTGGGGGGACAGAGTTAGTGAGACCTCATCTCAACCAACAGCTGGGTGTGGTGGCAGGTGCCTGTCATCCTAGCTACTCGGAGATCAGGAGGACCCAGGTTTGAAGCCAAGCCCAGGCAAATAGTTTTCGAGACCCTATGTCAAAAAAAATCCTTCACGCAGAAAGAATTTGAGGGGAGCCAGGCGTAACGGTGCACGGTTCGAGGCCAGCCTGGGCTCATAGCGAGAGGATGGGGACCGGGAGCGTGAGCAGGGTGACGGGCCAGGCTGAAAGGGAGGTGAGTGACCGCGCAGGGGAAGTTCTAGAACGAGCCCTGGACACAGTGGGCAGGTGGCTCTGTGGCGGAGGGTCCAGATGCAGAGGACCTGTGAGGAGCCCGACCTTGGGCCATGGAGGCGGTGGAGGCTGAGGGGAAAAGGTTTCCGCTGAGCAGTGGCTATGACATTGACTGACCCTGGAAGGACATGGGCACCATGGGCACAGAGACTTCGTGGGAAGGAAGGAGGACTCGAACCCAGGCTCCCCGTCCTTACACCAGCGGCCTTTCCCTTCTCCTGGTGCAGTCATGTTGGTGGCCCCTCCTGAGGACCCTGCACCCATCCACGACCCCGCGACCATCAGTGTCACACTGAAGGTGAACAGTGTCCTGCCACCATACAAACAGGCCATCGCCATGCCGGCTGGGTCCTCCTTGGAAGACGTCCTGAAAAAGGCCCAGAAGCTAGGAGGATTCACGTGAGACTCCCCCACCTCCCCGGGTCCCCGTGCCTGCCACGGGGTCATGGAAGGAACAAGAGACAGATATTGGTTCAACTTCTGTGTCCCCCTTCCACACTCCTATGTGATCTATTCTGTCATGGAAACAGGGAGCCATGGGTCAGCATCATCCTTGAGAGAATAAGCTTGGCCAGGTGAGGTGGTCCACACCTGTAATCCCAGCTGCTCCAGAGGTGGAGACAGGAAGACTGAGAGTTCAAGGCTAACCCCAGGCAAAGTTAGTGAGACCCCATCTCAAAGATAAAATAAAAAAGACAGGCCAGGCGTAGTGGTGCATGCCTGTAATCCCAGCACTCACTCAGGAGGCTCAGGCAGGCAGATGGGGAGCACCAGGCCAGTCTAGGCTACATAGTGACACCCTATCTGAAGTGAAATGACATAGCTGGGGACATAGCTCAACTGGGTTTATTCCCCATTTCTGCCCCACCCTCCCCAAAGACATCGGGCTCAGCCAGGCATGGTGGTGTACAGCTGTAATCCAAGCTACTCCAGAGGCAGAGGCAGGAGGCCAACCTGAGATAAGGAGACCCCATCTCAAAAATAAAATAAAGTTGGGTGCCGGTGGCTCCTGCCTGTAACCCTTGCTACTTGGGAGGCTGAGACTGGGAGGATCACAGTTTGAGGCCAGCCCCGGCAAAAAGTGAGACCCCATCTCAAAATACCCAACACCCAAAGACAGGGTTGCCCGGCAAGCATGGGGCCCAGAAGAAGGGACCGACCGCCACTGAGCTATGGAATCTTGGGGAACAAGACCTGATGGTGGTTGTGTCTGCCTCGGTTTCCCCTCATCTCTCCCCACGCTGGCCCCATTGTACACCGGCACCTTCCGTGGGGTGCCGGCAGCTCCTCATCCCCCCCGTGACACCAGCCCCCAGACAGAGGGCGACTGCCGGGTGGGTGACACAGTAGGTGTGCCTTCCCGGAGGCCACGGTCACGGTCAGCGCAGGCAGTGGGGCCGGACGGGGGGCGGAGTGAGACCTGGGGCCCCGTGCTGAGGTGGCCCAGTTGGCTGGGGCATGACATCTCTGCTGGTGTGGGGACCTTGCGCCTTCTCTTGGGAACACGTCACCTCTTCTCGCCCGCCCTTTCCCTCATCTAGGTATGGGACACAGGCGTCCTTGTCCGGCCCCTACCTGACCTCCGTGAAGGGGAAACCAGCTGGGCACCGGGAGTTCTGGCAGCTCCTCCGAGACCCCGACACCCCCCTGCAGCAAGGTGAGTCTGGTGGCCTGGGGGTGTCCCCTCCCTCGGCCTTGGCCTGCCGTCACTCCTTCCCTCCATCCCCGAAACACACCAGCCCTCCTGGGCCAAAAAATTACTGGTGCTGTAGCCGGGCGCCAGTGCTGACGCCTGTAATCCCAGCTACTTGGGAGGCTGCGATCGCGAGGATCCAAGTTCAAGGGCAGCCTGGGCAAATAGTTTCAGAAACCCTATCTCCAAGACAGGAAAAGTGGACTGGAGGCGTGGCTCAAGCTGTAAAGCGCCTGCTTTGCAAGTGGGAAGCCCTGAGTTCAAATCCCAGTCCCATCAAAAAAAAAAAAAAGCCAACCAATCTTCCAGTTGGTTCCAGAAAGCTGCTAGCTTCCCAGCACCGAGCCTGGAATAGATCTTACAGAGCCCGGCTTTGGGGGACGGATGTGTGGGGGGTCCAGATGATTTGGGGCGGGGAGGGGGGTGGAGATGACACACTGGGCCCTGTTTTTGTTTTGGGGTTTTTTTGTGGTACTGTGGCTTGAACTTGGGGCCTACTCCTCGAGCCACTCCACCAGCCCTTTTCTGTGAAGGGTTTTTTGAGATGGGGTCTCTCGATCTATTTGCCTGAGCTGGCCTCAAACCACGATCCTCCTGATCTCTGCCTCCTGGGTAGCTGGGATTACAGGCGTGAGCCATGGTGCCCGGCTCCCTGTGCCCTGTCAGCCTCCCCTTGCTCGATGTTTCTGCAGGCATCGCTGACTACAGACCCCAGGACGGAGAAACCGTGGAACTGAGGCTGGTTAGCTGGTAGCCTTGAATGGCCTTGGTCCTCCCAGAAACCTCTGCACACTGGGAGCAATGTCCCCAATCACCACAGCCACCACCCCTGCGGGAATCTAAGCCAAGGCCCACCCCAGAGAAGAGCCACACACCTTCTCTGGGAAGCCTGTCGGCCCAGCCTGGCCCTGCCTGGCCTGCAGGCCACCCACGAAGTCCACCCCACGGTCTGAGGGACAGGTGGCACTCAGCCTTCTGACAGCAGGAGAAGAGGTTCTGCTGGTGGCTGTGGCGTTGTGAAGACCACTGCTTTGGGACTGGAGACCAGCACGGAGGCCTCCATGGCCCAGGGGCTGTGGCCGTGTCCCCCTCTTTCCACTGTATAGACAGAGGGAAGTCCCAGAGGTGGTCATGGGTGACAGCTGGTGAGACTGCTCACCCTCCTCCAAAATGATTAAAGCCCGATTCTTGTGTGAGCATGTGGACGGTGTCCTGAGTCTCCTAGGGACAGGGACAGGGAGGACAGCAGGGCACGTGAGCACAGGGAGTCACCCTAGCCATGGCATGGGCTAGATACGCACTGTTCAGTGCAGCTCTGGGGGGCTGTGAATGCTTTCATTTTTATCTGTGCTTTATGGACAAGGAAAGGGGGGATGAAAAAGGAAAGTGACTCAGCCAGTAGCTCACACCTGTAATCCCAGCTACTTGGGAGGCTGAGATCGGGAGGATCACAGTTCGAGGCCAGCCTGGGCAAATAGTTCTCAAGACCCCCATCTCCAAAAAACCAGAGCAAAATTGACCAGAGGTGCAGCTCTAGAGGTAGAGGACCTGCTTTGAAAGCATGAAAGCTCCGAGTTCAAATCCCAGTCCAACCAAAAAAAAGAAAAAAAAGAAAAGAAGTCTTAAGGGCCTGGGGGGTGGGTGGACAGGAGTAAGGGGTTCCTGGGCCAGTTTGCTACTGGGCTCAGCTGCTCCCAAGTTGGTGGGCTGGATCATTTCAGCAAATACCCTTGGGTACTGGGGATGGAACCCAGGGTGCTTTACCACCGAGCTACACCCTGGGCCCCAGCAGGTGACCTTTCAGTAATTTGCTGCCAGTCTCTTTCATCTGGGAGGGGCCTGTGGCCTCCTTAGGCCATGTCACAGGGGCAAGGGGGCAGCGGAGAAATGCACGGTCAAGTATCATCCCTTGAGGACAATAGCTCTGAGCCTGTGTGACCTTGGGCGAGCTGCCAACCTCTCTGAGTCTCCACCTCTCCATCCTACAGTTATTAAGGGAAGGTCACAGGGCAGGTCCTCAGTGCTCAGTTAAGGAAGAGCAAAGGAACAAGTGCTCCAGGTTTCCGGGTGAAGACAGTTCACCTTAAAAGCTCGGACCCTCTCTTGTGTGTTTCAGTACAGAAGAATGGTTTCTAGCCAGGCACAGTGGTGCACGCCTGTAATCCCAGCTACTCAGGAGGCTCGAGATCCAGGCCAGCCCAGGCATAGTTAGCGAGACCCTAGCTCAAAAACAAAAGAAAAAGAAAAAGGGCTTGGGGTTGGGGGGCGTAGCTGCCAAGTAAGTGTGAGAACTTGGGCTCATACCACAAAAAAAAGAAAAAAAAAGTCACACGCTTAAGTCTGACTTTCCAGGTCATACTTGAAGGGCAGCCCTTTCCCTAAGCTGGAAGGGACGGGGCGCATGGGGTGGGGGCAGTGGGCGCCTTCCTGGGCTGAGCCCCAGCCAGGGCCCCAGCACCCCACGGAGAGGCAGGGTCCCCGTGATCTGGGTGTTCCTCGGCTAAAACAGGAAGGAGACCCTGGCTCTGGCCTCCAGTTGAATGGGCTCTGCCGTGGAGTGACACGGTCCTTGAAGTCCCCACTTTTCAGTGTCTTAAGTGGAGGACCCAGGAGGCTGCGTTTAGGCCGTGGTTTTTGAGATGGGGTCTCGCTCTGTGGCCCAGGCTTAGGTGGTCCTTCTGTCTAGGCCCCCCGGCAAGGGGGACTACAGGCGCAGTTGTCTCCCGAGCCATGTCCCTTGCTGTCTCCTGCAGTGTCCCTGCCTGCTGTCGGATTTGTGACCTCCTCTTCAGCTTGCCCTGGGTGCAGCCCCAGCCAGGGCTGAGCCACCTCTACTTCCTGCCCCTCTTATGTCCCAAAGCCACAGGGCCACTGGGTCAGAATCTAGTCTGAGACCAGCAGGGACCCAGAGAAGCCCGGGCCTGCACGTGGGTCTGCCTGGCTCCAGACCAGCCACGTCCCCTCCTGTGTTCTAACTCGGAATTGTGGGACCGTTCCTTGCTTTACGGCATAACCGTGTCTGTGATGTCCTCACTGGTCACACACAGGAAATCTGAGCCTCAGTACAGAAGGGAACTGTCCAGGGTCGTGTGGTGACAAGAAAACAGGCCCATGTCACAGTCTGTGTGGCCCAGTTACTAGAAACAGACTCTTGTTCCCTTCCCAGAATCCCTGAGTGTCTCTGGGGTTCACCTGCCTCTGAAAAAGTCCCCAAGGGGCAGGACTCAGATTGGGGAGCCGTGGGCACTGCCTGCTGCTCTGGGCTTTCAGGTGGACCCCAAGAATTGTGAAGGAGCTCCCTGCTGCCCTCCACGAAGCGGACCCCCGGGGTCCCCGTCCTCCCCATTGTGAGCTCCACTGTCCCCATACACCCGGCAGAGGCAAGTTGAAATCTGGGGACCCAGAGCTACCCGGACCTGGCGTGTGTCTCACAAGCTGCCCTGGGTACCTGGCTTCTTTCTCTACCCCAAGCCCTCTGTCTTCCCCACTCCTGCCTCCAGGGGTATCGGGGGAGCAAATGGGACAGATGGGATAAAGACCTGGCAGCTGGTGACATTGTTTTCCTATGCCCTAGTCCCACTGGGCTCCCATCTGGATTGGCCTCTGCTGGTCAACTTCTTTGGCTCTGCCCTCAGTCCCCTCCTTCACCCTAGGAAGGTGTGCAGCCTGCTCCACGGCCACCAAGGTCCACCAGGCCTCACTTTCCTCATGACCACCTCTCACCCAGCAGGCCAGGCAGGAATCACTTTGTGGTGGCCTTGGAGGTGGCATAAAGGGACTTCCACCACCCAGCACTCCAGCCAGCTCAGCTTTTGAAAAGTTCAAGGTGCTTTTACTATTTTTTATTGTTTTGGTGGCACTGGGGTTTGAACTCTGGACCTCGCACTTGCTAGGCAGGTTCTCCACCACCAGTCCTCCAGCTCTGTTTTTAAGTTATTCTTAGGAAGCCTCGTGTGGTAGCCATGTGCCTGTTATCCTAGCTACTTGGAAGGTCACAGGGAGGAAGAAAGAAGTCTGGGGCTGGCTCCAGGCAAAACCATTTAAAATAACTAAAGCAAGCCGGGAGCCAGTGGCTCACGCCTGTAATCCCAGCTACTCAGGAAGCAGAGATCAGGAGGATCGCAGTTCGAAGCCAGCCCAGGCAAATAGTTCCTGAGACCCTATCTCAAAAAACCCATCACAAAAAAGGGCTTATGGAGTGACTGAAACAGAAACAGCACCTGCCTAGCAAGCATGAAGCCCTGAGTTCAAATCCCAGTATTGCATATATGTATAAGTACATATAAGTAAATATATTAATTTTTAAATTGTTGGTGAGCTGAGGGTCGAACTCAGGGACCTGGTGCATGCTAGGTAAGTGCTCTACCACCCAGCTACATCTCCAGCCCTGCTTTTTTGTTTGTTTGTTTGTTTTTGTTTTTCCAATTAAAGGAAACTTACTAGAAAACTGACAAAATCCCCAAAAGAATAAATCCATTGGGAGCCCAGATTTCCCCTTGGCTGGATCAGCATCCCTCCCACAACCCCTGCTGGATGAACCCCATCTTAAAGCCCCCATATTTAGGTCTCAGCCTGGAAATTCTCTTGTTTGCACCCACCCCAGTCCTGTCCCCTGTGTGACTTGGGCTACTCAGTGTGGTTATTCACCAGAACCATCAGAGGGGAACGTGACAGTGTAGGTTCCTAGGATCTCAGACAGAGCGAGGCCTGATTCATTCCTGGTCTCCTGTAAAGCTTTTTTTGGGGGGCGGGGGTTGATTTTAAATGATTTGAAGATTTGGGGCACAGTGCAGCCATTCGGGGACATGACCACTAGAGGGCGCTCTGGGCCCGACTAATGTCCACCTCCGTGGACTGGGTTTCAGGCAGGTTGTTACCATCAGGATCTTGCTAAACGGGGGAGCAAGAGCTTCCTCAGGGGGGAGGAAAGAGGATAATGGGGTGAGGCTCGGATCCAGCCTCTGTCCTTGTGTCTTGAAGAGAATGACAAGAGAATGTAGTGATCACAACATCTAATAGAAAAGAAATACACTTTCAATAGATTGAAAGCAGGTCATCGCTACAGTGAGAAATTATTTGTACTCTGGCACCAGTTTTTTTGTTGTTGTTGTTGTTTGCAGTACAAAACCCCCTATTTTTGTGAAGGTTTTTTCAAGATAGGGTCTCAGGAACTATTTGCTGGGGCTGGCTTTGAACCGCGATCCTCCTGATCTCTGCCTCCTGAGTAGCTGGGATTACAGGTGTGAGTCACTGGCACCAGCTTTTATTGAGGTCAAAGGGACTTGCCCCAGGTCATAAGGCTAGGTTAAGTCTACCAATTATTGGATCCCTTTGACCGCCAGAGTAAGGTTTATAGGCCTAGGTCTTTGTTAAGATCCACTGTTTCAGGAACTGAGGTCCACCCACCTTAGGGTGGGTGACTCCAAAATATTTTGTGACATCCCACGACCTTGTGGGCTATTTTGATCCACAGGCTCACACCTGTAATCGTACCTACTCAGGAGGCAGAGATCAGGAGGCTCAAAGTTCGAAGCCAGCCCAGGCAAAATAGTTCATGAGACCCTATCTCGAAAATACCCAACACGAAAAAGGGCTGGCAGGATGGCTCAAGTGGTAGAGTGCCTGCCTAGCAAGCGTGAGGCCCTGAGTTCAAACCGCAGTGCCACCAAAATGAAAGAAATATTGGAAGGCTTAATTACAAAGTCCAGAGAGACCATGAAGAATCAGCACCTTAGGCTCTGTTTGCATCTCCCCATCACTCATGGCTAACTGCCGCTTTGGTCCGTGTTCGCCTCCAGAGCCAGGCCTGCAATCTGTGTCGACCTGTTCTGCTCTGGGGCGATCGGTCTACTCACCCAACTCAACTCAGACACCAGCTGTTGTTGGAATGGGAAAACGGAGACGCAGGACTTAGTGGTGTCTGCTGTGTCTCCCAGCTCAGGGCTCTGTCCTGGCAGGGCTGGGGCAAAGGGTGGAGCCTGAGAAGTCTGGCTCTGAGTCAGCTCTGAGTGCCCAGGGGACAGGATGGGGGCTGCTTGGCCAGGGATGGATGCCAGCCTGCGGTACCCTGCTTCCTTCCGCAGCTGTGGTTGGTCCTGGTGATTCAGCTTCCCTCTGGTGGCTCAGAAGGGACCCCACCCTGACTAGGAGGCAGGGGAGGGTCTAGGAGGGGCGATGAGGCCTTAAGGGGCCCTGTTGGTCCATGTCATCTCCTTGGGATGTCAAGGTCCCAGGAGATCCTTGTAGCCTGGGTCGGGGGTCCTGGGATGGGCTTGTAGGGCGCTCTTAGGCTCTGCTCCTTGGGTGACTCTGTGGCATACTCGTGTCTATGGATGGAGAGGACCCTGACTGATTCCCACTGATGGCGGGGTGCACGGGGGACAGGCTGGCTGCTACACCAGGCGGGCTCGGACCCGCAGACCCTCAGGCCATGGGCGGAGAGCAGGGAAAGAGCTGCTGTGGGCGTGGCCTGCCGAAGTGGGCGGGGCGTTCAGCTGACAGCCTATGGCAACCTTCAGCGCTCCGGGGCGTGGCTTTTGTGTTGGGGCGTGGCTTAAGGCTCCGCCCAACTCTCCCGGGTGGGGCGCGGGCGAGGGGGCGTGGCCACGAGCGCGGGGCCGCGCCCGCCGCGTCGGGCCGGGAAGAGCCGGGCGAGCCGGGCTGGAGGCGACACTGGATCGATCCGTAGTCGCAGCTCGGGCTACAACCGGAGCAGCCGGGATCCAGAACCGGATCGGGAGCGGGAGACGGAGCCGGAGCCAAGCCGAGCTCGCCGACTGGCACCGGACCGTGTCGGCCGCATCTCCTGGGCCGCCAGAGATCTGCGAATCACCCCCCTCCGACACTCCCCGGTACCACCAGGTACCAAGCCCGGGTCGCCCCTGCCAGGCTTGGACACGGCCTGAGCACCCAAGAGGCCCCGGAGTCAGGATCCCCTTCCTATCGGCCTGGGGACACCAAAGAAGGACATAGGATTCCATCTACGAGCACTGATCAGGAGGACAGGGGAGATCTCACCTGGCACCGGACACAGGTGCCCCGAGCCTACGAGGCCAGGCTCCAGCATCCTGGCAGGCACGACCTCGACTGTGCCCCATCTGAGGCTCCCAGACCTCGGCTGACCAAGGCCGGCCATCAGAAGCGGTGCCCCCACCTGTCTGAGGTCCAAAGAACCGGGATCTGGCCTGGCCCCAAGCGGGGATCAGCGGGGGTCCCCTCCCCTGGTGCGGATGTGCCGTCCCCTGGAGAATCATGAAGGCAGGATGACCTCAGCCGAAGCAGTGGCAGTGACTGGAAGTGCCTGGGAGGCTGGACCTCCTGCGTACCCTCCTGGCAGTCCTCAGGTCCTTAGGCGGCCTGGCCGGGCCCGGGTGGCACTGGTGGCACTGGTGTGGCTGCTGGCGGGAGCCAGCATGTCTAGCCTTAACAAATGGATCTTCACGGTGCATGGCTTTGGGCGACCCTTGCTGCTCTCCGCCTTACACATGCTGGCGGCAGCTCTGGTATGCCACTGGGGGGCCAGGCGCCCCATGCCCGATGGCACCCGTCACCGGATACTGCTGCTCAGCCTCACCTTCGGCACCTCGATGGCCTGTGGCAACGTGGGCCTGAGCACGGTGCCCTTGGACCTGGCACAGTTGGCCACCACCACTACACCACTGTTCACGCTGGCCCTGTCTGCACTGCTACTTGGCCGAAGACACCATCCGTTACAGTTTGCCGCCATGGGCCTGCTTTGCCTGGGGGCCGCCTGCAGCCTGGCAGGAGAGCTCCGGGTACCGCCCGCTGGCTGTGGCTTCTTGCTGGCCGCCACTTGCCTCCGAGGTTTCAAATCCGTTCAGCAGAGTGAGTGCCCGGGTTGTCATCTCAGGAGGTGGGATTTGGGTTGGGTGTGTGGCTTAAATGTCCCCCTGAGCCAGAGGTGTGGCTGTTAACCCATTTTGCAGATGAGGAAACTGAGGCTCAGAGACGGTCAAGAGTTCGTGAATTCCAAGCCCCAAACTTCGTCTTTGGAGGCCTAGGCCAATTGTTAAGAATAGTGACCTGTGACCTTTGTCAAGTCTTTTATCTTGCTGTACCCCCGTCCTGCCCCTGACCAAGGCAGGTTTGCCCTGGGCCATGTACCAGTGAACAGCAGAGGCAAGATTTGAACCCAGACACTCAGACTTCATGCTGTTCAAGTGATGTGTAAGGAAAGCTATATAGCCCAGGCTGACCTTGAACTTGAGCTCCTCCTCCCTGACCTTCTCAGTGCTGCCAGAGAGGTTTATTATCGTCCCAGGATCACAGGTAGGGCTCCTGAGGCTGGAAGCATGGCGTGCGCGACTCCAGGTTCTGTCTGCATTGAGGGGGCAGAAGACAGGGCCGAGGCTCCAGCCATGCCTTTGCTCCTATTTGCTGGGTGACTTTTGGCAGGTCTGGGTCTTCTCTAGGCCGCAGTCTCCCCACTTCTTCAGGGAAGTAGTGTGAGAATTGATAAGAGCGCAAGGGCCCTCATTTTTCTTTTGGTGGGACTGGGGTTTGAACTCAGGACTTTGCGCTTGCAAAGTGGGTGCTCTACCACTTGAGCCACACCTCCAGTCCGCTTTCTCTGGTTATTTTGGAGATGGGGTCTTGTGAACTGTTTCTTTGCGCTGTCCTCAACCTGCAGTCCTCCCACTCTCAACCTCCCAAATAGTTAGGATTACAGGAGTGAGCCACCAGCCCCCGGCCGGAGGGGCCTCTTGCATGCTCTCCCTCCCTCTCAGCTCTGAGGTCTGATGGCTCCAGCCTAGGAGAAGGGGTGGGGGGACCTCAGGTATGCCGGGCTAAGGTTGGGGACAACCTGCAGCTGGGGACAGTTAGAGTCAGAACTTTTAGCCTGCACTGCCATCTTGGGAGCTGGGCCTCAGATGTCCTCCTGTCCCCATCTTCCCTGGCCTTGAGGCAGCGCCAAACCCAGTTCTATTTTAGAACTCAGGTTACATGAGCTGGGGCCTGAAGTAGGCAGGAGTTGGGGCCTTGTGGGGCCCTCCTGGGCAGAGTCACCAGGCCTCAGGCCCACAGTGCGCCTCACGCGGGGTCCCTTTAGCCCTAGGCCTGCAAACAAAAATGCCTGGCATCTGGTCACTTCTTGGCTTCTGCCAGCTTGCTCCTTCCCTCCTAAGTCTCAACTTCCTGCCCTGCTGGGTAGTTTGGATGCTTGCACTGGCTTCCCACGGTGTCCTCTGCTTCCCCTTTACGAAGCTCCAGACAAGGATGGGGGCATCTGTGTGTCTGGCACAGAGCAGATACTCAAATGATAGATCTATTATTATTACTATTTTTTTTTTTGGTGGGACTGGGGTTTGAACTCAGGGCCTCACGCTTGCTAGGCAGGTGCTCTACCACTTGAGCCAGGCTCCCAGCCCTCAAATGAGGGTTTTATTGCTCAGAATGTAGAGAGGTGGCTCAGGGAGTTAGAGGCCCTCTCACAGAGGTAGCAGCCCGGCCACGATGAGGACAGACTACAGCCAGAAACCGAGATGGGTTCTGGAAAAGTTGGGTTGGAGGAGTGGCTCAAGTTGTAGAATGACTGCCTCACAGGTGCAAAGCCCTGAGTTCAATCCCCAGTACAACCAAAAAAAAAAAAAGAGCCAGCACCAGTGGCTCAGCTACGAAGGAGCAGAGCTTGGGAGGATCGTCGTGGTTCGAAGCCACCCAGGCAAATAGTTCGTGGGACCCTACCTCAAAAAAAATCACAAGAAAGGGATGGTGGAGTGGCTCAAGTAGTAAGAGTGTCTGCTTAGTAACGATGAGGCCCTGAGTTCAAACCCCAGTGCTACCAAAAATGTAAATACATAAATAAGATAAAGAAAAAGAGGTTTCTTTTGCCAGAGCCAAATTCAGACTAGAGTGCAAATGGCTGATGCCAGCTTCTTTACTGAGCAGCCCCCAGGGAGCAGAGGATGAGAGGCCAGGAAGAGGCCTCTCTGGGCAGGGTCCCATTGCAGGCCCTTAAAAAGGGCGATGCCGCCTTTTACCCACATGGAACAAGCAGGGAAGGGCATTCTGAGTGGCAGCCGGCAGGATCAGCTTGGGGGGACGTCATGTTGAGCGGTCCCACTGGGCATCAGACCCGAGTTGCACCTCGCACGCTCCTGTAAGGGGACAGAGACAGAGAGCAAGTGAAGGGGTGAAGAGGGACAGGCATCAGGACTTAGAGAAGGGCCATCTGCCATCTGTGTGTGACAGAAGCTCTGGCACAATTAGATGCTGAAACCAAAAAGCCTTGGAACCCAAGTCTGGCGACGCACACCTATAATCCCAGCCCAGACGATTAGTGCTAAATTCGGAGCCAACAAGCAGGAGGCAGTCCAAGTTTCTGCTCATTTCTAGAAAGGCTGGAGCCGTGATGGTGGCTGCCTAGAGAGCAGAGCCAAACCGAACGAGGTGGAGAGAGGCGAAAATTTCCCTGTCTAAGCCTCGCCTGTGGAAAGTGCGTGTCAGGAAACCCCGCCTGGGAGGAGACTTGTGTCATTACTCATCTCCCTGTCCCCTAACGCTTGGAGAAGGCCCCGAACCGTCACTGTCCTCGTGTCACCTGGGCCGGGTTTGGATTCGATGGTGACACCACTTCCTCTCTCAGTTGGCTGGGTGGTGGCAGGTGTAGACTCCCAGGCACACCTGGACAAGGTGGCAAAGCTGAAAGACTTTTCTCTTAGTTCTGAAGTCACCTGGGCAGTCCCAGTGTTGGGAGCAGACTGCTGATAGGCCGGCCGCGGTGACATCTGTGGTACATGAGGGACTGTAGGACGGAAGATCAGATCCAAGGCTGGCCCTGGGGCAAAAAGCAGGGACCCAAGACCCTATCCAGAAAACAAAACAAAACAAAAAAGGCTGGGGACCATAGCTGGAGTAGAGTGCCTGCCTGGTAAGTGCAAAGCCCCGAGTTCAAACCCCAGTTCTGCCAAAAAAAACAAAGAGATGAGGTTAAGAGAGAGAAATCAGGTCACCCACCTGGTGCACAGCTGGGTTAAGAACCCAGTATGGTAGAGCATACCTGTAATTCCAGCACTCTGGAGGAGGCCAAGACGGGGTTGTGAGTTCGAGACTGACCTGGGCGAAATAGTGATTTCAAGGACAGCCTGGGCTACATAATGAGACCCTGTCTTAGGAAAAAAAAAAAAAAAGAACCTAAGGCTGCTTTCTTCAAAGCCTGGGATGTATGTGTGTGTGACTGGGGTTTGAACTCAGGGCTTTGAGCTTGCAAAGCAGGTGCTTGTTGCTTGAGTCACCCCTGCACTCCATTTTGCTCTGGTTATTTTGGAGATGGGGTGTCTTGAACTATTTTCCTGAGCTGGCCTCAAACCACGAGCCTCCCCATCTCAGCCTCCCAAGTGGCTAGGATTGCAGGCGTGAGCCACGGGCCGCGGATTTATCTCTATCTTTGTAGGTTTTCACAACTGCACGGTGCATTAGGATTTTCCGTTGCCCCAAGTCTCTGTCACACTTCTGAGCAGGAGTCAGTGATGGTGGTGGCGGGTGGTCAGGGTGGCCTGACCAGCGGGGGTCGTCTCTACCTTGGGTGTTGACAGTCACTGTCTTGGTCCCAGGTGCCCTGCTCCAGGAGGGGAGGATGGACGCGGTGACCCTGCTGTATGCCACCTCTGTGCCCAGCTTCTGCCTGCTGGCAGGTGCCACCCTGGTGCTGGAGGCTGGCGTGTCCCCAGCGCCTGTGCCCACTGACTCCCGCCTCTGGGCCTGTGTCCTGCTCAGCTGCTTCCTGTCCGTGGTCTACAACTTAGCCAGCTTCTCCTTGCTGGCCCTCACCTCCGCCCTCACCGTCCATGTCCTGGGTAACCTCAGCGTCGTGGGCAACCTCACCCTGTCCCGATTCCTCTTTGGCAGTCACCTCAGCGCCCTCAGCTATGTGGGCATTGCACTCATCCTTTCTGGAATGTTCCTTTATCACAACTGTGAGGTTGTGGCCTCCTGGGCTGCCCGCCGGGGCCTGTGGCAGAGGGGCCAGCCTGGCAAAGGACTTTAGCACCTGAGAGCGTCCACGAGCCACATCGGGACAGCCCCGATGTCACTCCAGCGTTGGCCAAGGCCATTGGCCATGGGGAGAGCGGACAGAGAGAGCAGGTGGCCACTCTGAGGCTGAGGGCAAGGAGAGGAACCTTCGGGAAGGCTGGACCAGGCTGTCCCAGACAGACCCACGTCCTGCCCTGGCCTGCCTGACCCTGTCACAGGGTCACCCACCCACCACTGGACGGTGGGTCCAAGCCTGGCGGTCACTGTCCCAGTGGCTACACTGAACATTGTTGGTCAAAACTTAGAAAGCCGTAGTGTTGTCATGACGGCCATGATTCTTGGTGGCTGCACAGTCCTTTTTCCTCCGTGGGGAGGCGGTGAGGGGTCCCAGGGACTTGGCGTGTCTGTGCCAGCTCCAGGTGGCCTCATTCCCTGGGCTTTCTGCTTTTGGGTCTTCCACCCTCAAATACACTATTTTTGCTTGGACACCTGTGTCATTCCTCGGGCTTCAGGGAGAGTGGTGTCCCCCACCCCAGGCAGAAACTAGCACATTGTCACTAACCTGTCACAATCCCTCCCCTGGCCCGGTCACCATCGCCTGCTTTCCTGAGGGTGGCAGTAAACTCCTCTCTGCTGCTCTGGCCCCACCTACTGCATCTTCCATGTCCCCTTCACCTGGAGGGACAGCTCTGGGGACAAAGAACTTCCTTGAGGCCTGGCGGAGTGGCCCAAGTGGTAGCGCACCTACCTAGCAAGCGCGAAGCCCTGGGTTCAAACCCCAGTACTGCAAAAAAAAAAGAAAAAGAAACAAACAAGAAAACTTCCTTGAGCTGGAGCGGTGGCGCATGCCTGTAATCCCAGCAAGGAAGGTCGTGAGTTTGAGACCAGGCTCCCGTCTCATTTTGCTGCTTTTTCCTGATGGACTTTGCCTTCCAGCAGTGCCACCCACACTCACTGGTGCCATTGCACTGTCCGGTCCCCTGTTCCTGGCTACATCCTGGTTTGGGAGTGGGAGAGAAAACCTGATGACAGAGGGCTGTGCCCAGAGCTACGGGCACCTGGCGCCCCCCTCGACCAGCTGGCCTTGGCTCTACCATGTCACCTCTCAGCCGTTCCTTGGGGTTATGCACTCAACTCCCCTATCCAGTGACCTGTGAAAAATGACAAGGACCCTGCCTGGAGGGCAGAGACCTGGGGCCCAATCCTGTCCTATGTCTCCTTCGCTTTGTAGCTCTTTCTGGGCCTCAGTTTTCATATCTGCAAAATGGGTTGACGATCCAGATGAGGAGCCCCGTGGGCAAGACTATGGTCAAGGAAGGAGATGGCCAGTGTCCAGCGGGGCTTTTGTCCCTGTTTTGTCCCTCTCTGACGTTCCAGACCCGTCTGGGAAATGTCCCCCCTTTTGTGTGAGAATGAAGAGTTAGACCACAGCTCATCCTCCTCTAGACCGTTAGTCACAGAGGGCATCGAAGCTGTGCAGCCAGGCAGGGCTGTGTGGACGGTCAGCCCCAGGCTGGGTGGGGAGCAGGCAGTGAGGACCCAGGAGGACAGGCCTGGGGTTTCCCGTCCCCAGCTCCACCCAGGCTGGCATTTTAGCAGAGGAAGTGGGCCTGGTTGAGTCACTGCCACCCCCTCCTTCCCTGTGACTCAGAGATGCCATGGACCCAGCCCAGCCCAGCAGCTCAGGCACCTCCAGACTGCACCCTCAGGCTTGGCCGGGCAGGACAGAGAAAGGTGGCTTCGGCTGGACAGAGCCTCTGGGGTGACTCCCAGCCCTTCCTGATCCATGGGGACCCAGTGTCCTGATGACACAAGTGAGGCCCCCAGGCTGCTGGGCCTTGTGGAATGCTGGCCTCCTGTCAGTCCAAACCCTGGTGGCTGGGGTATCTGCCTGACTCGGGAGCTGGCTTGTCACCAGATGCAGGACCATGAGACATTGATGAGATTCCTGGGTAGCAACAGTCATCACTCCTCCTGTTGACACAGAGAGCCCCGAACATCGAGTTAGAAAGCCTGGCTTTCAGTCCCGGCCCTTCCTCCTCTCCTCACCGTCTGCCCTCAGGCCGGGGTTGCTAGGAGTGACGATGGAGGGATAGCCAGTGGGCACAGTCCCCCTGCAAGGTCATTGTACTTTTGGGCTCTGTGGCCTCAGACAAGTGTCTTCACCTCTCTGAGCCTCCATCTTTGAATCCAGTCTCTCTGACAGAGAGCACAGGAGTTGTCCCGTAGCCAGGGGTGCATTCCACGATCCCCGGGGGACGACTGAAACTGTGTGGTGGGGGGTACCGAGCCCCGTCTGTGCTATGCTCTCCTATGCAAACGTGTACAAACTCAATGTCTTTTCCATCTTTTTGGGGGTGCGAGGGGTGGTAGGACTGGGATTTGAACTTGCAAAGCAGGCGCTCTACTGATTGAGCCACTCCTCCAGTCCATTTTGCTCTGGTTATTTTGGAGATGGGGGTCTCACAAACTATTTGCCTGGACTGGCCTCAGAACTTGATCCTCCTGATCTCAGCCTCTCAGGTAGCTAGGATTGCAGGCGAGCCACTGGCGCCTGACTGGGGCTCTTAATATTTACTTAATAAACCCCTTTTTCCTGTAAGGGATACTGTGACAGCAGCACCCATGTGATAGCCATGATAGCCAAGACACCTTCTAAGTGACTACCGGGAGGGTAGCATATACTGCGAAGACACTGCACAAAGGGATGCAGAGTGTGGCATGAAATGTGTGCTCAGAACAGCAAAAAATTGAAAAGACGTGGACTGTTTTATTTCCAGAATTTCCAAAAAAATAAAAATAAACCCATACTTTCAGACTGCAGTTGACTATAATAACAGCAACTGTGGCAAATGAAACCAGCATAAGGGAGTACTGGCATCTTAGTGACGAGCAGGTGCTGTGGAGTCAGACCTGGGTTCGAGTCCTGCCATGAGGCTCTGGCGTGAGGCAGGGCTCAGGCAGCAGTAGAAGGTGACCCCGGCCAACCTCAGGAAGACATGATTGGCTGTTGCTTAGCAACAGGACCCCAGCCAGTGATAGCAGACTGACTCACTGTAGCTGCTTCCACCTCCCCCCCCATAAGGCTCCTTGTGCACACCTCCCCACCCCGCCTGGCCTCCACCGCACACTGGGGCCCCCACACACCCTCCTCGCCCTGCCTTGGAGGAAGAGGGAAGGCGGGGCTGTGTTGGGCTTCCTGCCACCATGGAGACCAGAACAAAGCATTGTCTCAGTCCAGCTGCCAGGGTGCCCCTCCTGCTCTGCCCCGCCCGGGGGCCCCTGGATTGTCCTCCAGGACGAGGGGCAAACAAGGACTAGTTGGTTTTTTTCGTTTTTTGGTGGGACTAGGGTTTGAACTCAGGGCTTTTGGGGAGACCTGATGTAGTGACCCGGGTGCACTGATGACAGTGGGACACTGCCTAGGGTCACAGGGGGAAATAGTTGTATTGATTTGGCTGATTGTTTAAAAATTATAGGAGACCACTGTTTTTTACTTTTATGTTATTTATTTTTTTAACGTTTTACTTATTTATTTTGTGGTACTGAGATTTGAACTCAGGGACTTCACCTTGAGCCACTCCACAAGCCTTTTTTTGTTCTGAGTTTTTTTGAGATAGGGTCTCGAAAACTATTTGCCCGGGGCTGGCTTTGAACCGTGATCCTCCAGATCTCTGCCTCCTGAGTAGCTGGGATTACAGCCATGAGTCATGGCTTCCTTCTTTTCAAAGTAGCTTCCTTTCTTCTTTTTTTTTCCTTTGATAGAGACTGGCCTCAGGCTTGCTGGGTAGGTGCCACCACTTGAGCCACTTAGCCAGCTCAAGAGGCCATTATTTTGGACTTAACTTCTGTACTAGTCCCCAATATCCCAGACTATGGAAGTCACCTATGCTAAGGTCACACCATCAAGCCTAAACTAAGTTGTTTATCTGACTTTAGTCAGAAACTGGGAGAGGAAGAAATAGCCAAAAGTCACTTTGAAATGGCACAGCCAAATTCCCTTTGCCTTAATCCTTTAATCCTTACACAAAAGTAACATGAAGGAACCTGCTGTTAACCAACCGCTTGTGTGTTGTCTCCGGTTCTGGCCTTATGAAGAAAGTGACTTTGGAGGCTGGGTGTGGTGGCACACACCTGTAATCCCAGCAGTAGATCTTTAATTTAACAAAGCAAAGACCTGGACCTGTAAACCATACCCCGGGGGTCCGATGGACCCAGTAATAGTTTAAATCTGTAGACCCCCCCAGCCTCAAGGGCTGGTCCCAGGAAGGGATTTAAAGTTCCCAGCCTCTCCCACTTTTCTAAAAGCTCCTGCCAGGGTAAAAATATTTTTCTGTACTTCTCTTTCTGAGGCAATGGCCTGCAGTGTATTCCTTTCCTTATAAAGTTACTGTCACTGTCACTCCTCCCTCCCCCCGAATTCTTCTGACTTTCCAGTAACAGTGGAGTGTTGTTGTCCTCTACAATTAAAAATAAAGCCACCGGTGACTCACGCCTGTAATCCTAGCTATTTGAGAGACTGAGATAAAGAGGACTGAGGTTTCAGGCCTGCCAGGTTCACGAGACCCCATCTCCAAAATAACCAGAGCAAAATGGACTGGAGGGGTTGCTCAAGGATTAGAGCATCTGCTTTGCAAGGTCAAAGCCCTGAGTTCAAATCCCAGTCCTGCTCCCCACCCCTCCACCCCCAAAAAAATCCTTTTGTTTTTTTGGCAGTACTGGAGTTTGAACTCAGGGCTTCATGCTCGCTAGGCAGGCCCAAAAAAATCTTTACACTAAATTTTAATTTTGTCCTTTGGCAGAATTATCCCAAACGCAATGACCTAAGGTCACAAATGTACCACCTCTTGGTTTCAGTGGATCGGAATTTGGACGTGGTTTAGTGGGTGGTTCTGCTTCAGGGGCTCTGCTGAAGCTGTAGTCTAGATGCTGGCGTGGTGGTGACACCTGTAATCCCGGCACTCGGGGCTGAGGTAAGAGGACCACAGGTTTGAAGCCAGCCTGGGTGACAGAGTGAGTTCAAGGCCAGTCTGAGCTACAAAGTGAGACCCCGTCTCCAAAAACTGACAAACAAAAAGTCAACTCACATGACTTGGCTGGAGGCCTCTGTTCCTGGCCACAGGGCATATGGCTGCTGGCTTCCACCAGAGTGAGTCATTCAGAGAGCAAGAAGCCACAATGTCACACTCTGACCTTATTAGATTCTATTACTTCACTTTTTTTTTCTTTTTGGTGGCACTGGGACTTGAACTCAGGGCCTCATGCTTGCTAGGGAGGTACTCTACAGCTAGAGTCACTCTGCCAGCCCCTTTTTTGTGTTGGGTGTTTTCAAGATAGGGTCTCTCAAACTATTTGCCCCATTGGCCTTGAACTGTGATCCTCCTGATCTTTGCCTCCTGAGTAGCTGAGATTACAGGTGTGAGCCACGGCACCTGGCTTATTTTATTTTTTTGTGAGACAAGGTCTGACCCAGGCTGGGTTCTCTGAGTGCTGGGATTACAGACGTGACCCACTGCACCTGTCATCAGCTTGGTTGTATAGATCAAACCTATTCAGTGTGGGTTTCCCCACATTGCTACTTAGGACATGAATACAGGATGGGATCCTTGGGGCCATCTTGGAGGCTGGCTGCCTCCCCCGTGAATGTTTGTTGAGTGACTTGAGCACATAGCCTGGGGTCACCAGGATTTTCCTGGGAACTTTCTGGTCTGGGTCGTGTCTCGTTAGCCACAGGTCACAGGCTCCCTGACAACACTCTGCATACCCCTCGGCCCCAACACACGCACCGCACTCAGCACGTAGTGATGCCTTCTCTGTCCTTCTGGGTCCTTGGCCTGGTATTTGAAGCCCCGGATGTTCTGGTATCTCCGAGCTGCCCCAGCCTCTCCACCCCTGCTCCCAGTCTACGTCCACTGGACCTCCCGGTAGCTAGACTCCCTCTGCCCCTCCCCTCTTCTCTAAGGACGGCCAGCTTGGGGGCACTGGGTAGATTCTGACCCGACAGCACCTGCTGCCTAGGGTGGACATTTGCCTTTGTGTATTCAAACTATTTGGAAGAGGAACTCTTTGTTTTGGTGGGGCTGGGGTTTGAACTCAGGGTTTCTCGCTTGCAAAGCAGAGGCTCAACCACTTGAGCCACACCTTCCATCTATTTTGCTCTGGTTATTTTGGAGATGGGGTCTCCTGAACGATTCGCCAGGGCTGGTGTTGAATCTGTGATCCTCCTGATTCAGCCTCCCAAGTAGCTGGGATTATAGGTGTGAGCCACCAGTGACTGGCAAGTGGAGCTCTTCTCCACACCACCTTGTGTCCCAGGAGTCCTGGTTGAAAAACCACAGGCCCATCTGGGTATGGTGGCTCATGCCTGTAATCTCGGCTACCCCGGAGGCAGACATTGGGAGAATCTCGGTTTGAGGCCACCTTGGGGCAAAAAGTTAGCAAGACCCCTATCTCAAGTGACCTGGGTGTGGTGGTACACAGTTGTAATCCCAGCTTCTCAGGTGATGTAGGTAGGTAGGATTGCAATTTGAAGTTGGCCTGGGCAAGAAATGAGAAACTCTCGAGAAAAATAGTTAAAGCAAAAAAAAAAAAAAAAAGGGCCAGGGTATGGCTCAAATGACAGAATGTTTGCCTAGCAAGCACAAGGAGGTCCTGAGTTCAAATCCCAGTAACGGCAGAAAAAAATTGAAAACTACAGATCTGGTTCAATCTCCACTATATAATACATGAAGAAACTGAAGCTGAAGCAGGAGAAAGAACCAAGATGACCTTGTGCAAAGAGGGAGAAGCAGGTTTTGTCATTTTCTGCTCCTGTCTGCCGTGAAGAGACCCAGGCTACCAAGTAGCCAGGCTGTGCGGGCCCAGCCTGGGGTTCCAGGCTGATGAGTTACGCTGGGTCCTCTGAGAAGCAGACACCCAGATGGGGTTCCAGTCCAGCACCGGTGCCTCACGCCTGTAATCCAGCTATTCAGGAGGCCGAGAGCTGGAGGATCGTGGTTCGAGGCCAGCCTGGGCAAATAGTTCACAAAACCTCATCTCCAAAATAACCAGAGCAAAATGGATTGGAGGTGTGGCTCAAGTGGTAGAGGGTGAAGCCCTGAGTTCAAATCCCACCCCCAAAAAGATGGGGTTTGAGGGTGAGGATTTTGTAAGGGTAACAGGTGGGAGAGGGAGCAAGGCTGGGCAGAAGCCTTCCTCAGTCACCCCACCAAGGAAGGTTCAGCAAGGGTCGTCAGGAGGTCTTGAACCAATGGACTCCCATCTCAGGACCGAGCCTGAGTCAGGATTTCTGGTCTCAGCAGATCCAGGGTGAAGGATTTCATGGGGTCACAGAGGGGGCCCTTGGTCAACTGTTTCCTGGAATTGGAGTCCTGCATATGGTCACCAAGTGACACCGA